AGCAGAGAAATAAGCTCGGCGACGTTGTCTACATTATAGACAGAAACAAGACCTATCGACTACACAAAAAAACTGCGTGAAAAGAGTCAAACTAGGAGAAAAACGAGAGATTTTCGAAAACAAGGTTTTTGCCGGATTTCTCGTTTAAATCATAAAAAAGAGTCTTGCGACGTTGTCAGCGTGAAAATAGAGATCAAGAGCTTCAAAATGATATATAGCTTGCTAAAATTGGGTTCGAAACAGCGAAGAAAAGGGCACCAGAGCCAAATGCCCCGCGCCCCGCGTTTGGGGTAGCGAGGTAGCGCGCAGCGCGCGGAGACGCAGACGAGCAGCGGAGACAGACCAGAGCCGGCGGGGCATTTGGCTCTGGTCATTGATCTCCGCGGGATCATAACAAAACCCTATAATATTATATATCGTTGTGATCCTCATGAGACGGCCAGGAGTACTGACAACGTCGCAGGTCTTGAAAATCACTCCATAACGAGATAGACCAGCATTTATGTGGCGATTCCCTGCGCAAGATTTCAGCGCAGTTTCTCGTTTTTATTGAATTCCAGCGGCTTTCATGAACCTCCAACGCTCAATCGCAGTCTACAGAAAGGTTAATTGATAAGTTTCATCCCAATTTCTAACTGAATTTTTGAAGAAAACCCTCTTTTCAGCAAAAAAAGCCCATAAAAACGCGATACTTTGGTTTTTTGAGCTTTTTCTGGATGTCACTACTATATTTGCCTCATTCACATTCATCCTTACATAGTTAGTCATTAGTTATATCATAATATCCGGGCTTCGCCTCGGATAACTTCTGTATTCCTCTCCAGGTGAAGGTTGTGTCCTCTCATGACACTAAAGTGAAGGTTACCAGAGTACGTGGCTCTATGTATCGAGGGTATGGTTAGCACTAATTACGCATTCCCACATCAACGTTTTTTTTTGTCAATGCATTGTCACCAACTAGCGGCAACTCCGGCAATCAATCTTTTCATAATTGAGGGACACTATAACGCTAAATGTAGTTTGCAAGTTTGCGTAAGTACTTCCGGCGATTCCTTTTGCAGTGCTACATTGTATACGTAGTATTTATTTGCAGAAATAATAAAAAAATCGCTAAATTTTTTGAGTAGAGGAAACTGTTTGAATAAGGGATCTGGATTGAATCAAGCCCATTGTCTATAAGTTATAGAAGACGGAAGCTGTTTATGTAAATATGCCTCGTATTTTCTTAGTAAGTTGATGTCTTTTTTTTAGATACGCTCTCTGTAGGACGTGAGCATAGCTTTTAAAAACATTGAAAATTGAAGCGCAGTAAAATCTTGGACATTTCAGGCAATCGTGTGAATAACAATCTTTTTTCTGTTCATTCCATTCCATAGCTGTCATTCTGTTTATGTAAAAGCCGTTAATAGCACGAAGTGCAAGTGTACTATATGCTATTAGAATTCTGCAAAACTATAGAAGCTGCTTCGAATGTTATACATTTGCTTCGTAATTTCGCCGAATCAGAATTTTTCCGAAAAACTGCATGTTGTAATCTCATTTGCCATAGTTGGCTGTCACGGCAGCTCTATATTTCTTTAGTGCTTTCAAACGAACAAATTTCTAACCTTAATCTTGAATTCATCTAAAATTCGAAACCATTGTCGCCAGTCAAACAAAATCTTGAATTAGAATTGACATCTTTTTTCTTATTCTTATCTACGTCAATCTGAACGTACTACGATCTACTTGTTTCGGGAAAAGTTCTTCTTCATTTTTTTATTTTCTAGTCTTTGTTTCTTTTTATTCTATCTAACATCTCTCTACCAACATACTTTACGTTTTGAATGCTTTGTGGACTCAAAATTGCAACTCATAAATTATAACTTCCGCCGCTTCGTACTCTTCTGCGTGATAAAGCGCTGCTGTTGCCATATCTCTCCGGGGACGATATGATTCCCATTCTGTGGAATTTATGTTTATTTATGAGCCGTGGAGAAATCTATATCGCTTATGACGCCGCCCGTAAAAGTTACACTTTCCTTCTGAATACTGATTTGCGGCCAGTTTACGATAATTTGTACATGTTTGGGAGTGGAATCGTCAATCGTGTTTGATGTATTTCGAATGTAACATCCTACATATTTTGGGAGTTTGTTACTATATTTTCTAGAAACTCTATTCATGGCAGGTAGCTAGAAAGACTGAAAATGCTGCTTTCCTGAAAAATATCTTAGCTAAGAATTCCGGTTTATAAGACTTCTTTTTTCTTTTTGAGCATGTTTCCTCGACATAGCCCATGCTTATCTATAGAGATGGAAAGCGTTCTAATGTTTGCATAGTTTTATTTCATATACTCAAGGGCATTTCTTATCAATTCATTGGATTAAGACTGTGCCCTTGATTAATCCGAAGTCACACTACAGAAGAAAGTTAGACCCACATCGACGTGACTATACTTCGTTTCTCAGTATTTTTCTTCTCTTGTCTCTATACAATTATGCAAACATCTTTACAAAATAATTCCCAAGACTTGTCTTATAGGCAAATGCTTTCCATCTTTCTTGATTTTCGTGAGAAATTATTGTCAAAACAATCCATTTTTATAGACTTTCATATCTATGCTACCATGTAATATAGAGTATTGTAGAATTTGTGCGTCAGGAAAACCACTTTCAAACTTCTTCTTCACCCTCTATTTTTGACTATAGACAGTTCTGATGGATATGAGTTCATACTTGTGTAGCCCAACTTTGTTCATGAAATTAACAGAGAACGCATAGCTATACGCTCTCTTTCTTTAAATTATTCTTCTCATTTCTATTTTTATTTTTCAATGGCCCCTTTTTACGCGCAAGTGTTGTCTCCATCGCAGAGTACTACATGTACTGGCAAATAATCTCGTAACCCGTAATAAGTAATGCTCCACTCACTGTACGATGCGTTCTTTTTCTGATTCTCAAACGTCGCAAAAACATTATGCGAAGGTCTTCGCTATTATCATAATGTCCTATACAGTCGCACGTGGTGACTGCATGAAGGGCCGAGAGCCATAAATTCTGGCAATGTTCCAACTGCAACGGAGCGATAAAAATGCGCTGCACGTTCGTACTTTATCGCAGAGTCGCCTGCAAGTTTATGGTGTGCAAAGTAAAGTTTATACTTTGGCCTGGAAGTGGGTCACTGATTGTTCTCTGATGTGATATTCGTTAACAACCAAAATCCTTGATCGGAAATGGGAACTAAAATCGGAAAATACTGTGTGTTGTTCGTTCAGCTTTAAAAATCTCAGTTTCAAAAGTTTTTCTAAAGCACGTTTGTAAAGTTCACGGTTTGAGTGATCATACTATAAACAAGCAAACCGCTGTTTGTTACTTGAATAGTTATAAGAGGATATGACTAATTTCCGGCCGCTTTTCTTCGAAAATTCCCACGTTCGCACCTCACTTCCATAGTATATTTGCTTCAATGTTGCTTCTCTAGAAATCACCGAGATTTCTTTCGAGCCAGGAGTTCGGATGCTGCGAAATAAAATTCTGGTTATTCAGACATAAGCATTACGTTACGTGCCGAGCCTAGAAGTTGTTTTCAATAGGAGGGAGGCGCGACAGCGCATTTTTCCGAAAGAAAAGGCGTGGGCTAGCCATGCCCTTCAAAAAGTTCTGGATGCTATCCAAAATGTTCCTGGCCTGCAACCTCAAAATTTCGCGAAATTCGGAATACTCCCGTACTCAATAATTACATGAACTCTATCTATTTGTCCTTGCATTGAGTCTTATAACACTTTCCTCGTTCTGTATGACCGATGGTTATTGCAGACTTTTCATGAACACTGACTGTTACGAATCTGAAATCAAAATTGGCATAAATGAAACGAAAGAATACAAACGTCATTAATTTTTGTAATATTTTCATCTTCTATAACACATTAGGTAAAAGCAGTTCTCCAATCACATTCGACGATCTAAAATGGGAAAGCTTAGCATAAACCCACACCATATGCTGAATGAGAGATAAAACACTTTGTATAAACAACTACAAATAAACGGAAATGCGTAGGTTCTGACAGATTCGCATGTCAGATTCGTTCATTAAAGTTTACAGTGCTGCAATGCCATCGCAGTTTGAAAAATAAATCAGTGGGCGTAGAAAATGTTTTGCGAAAAAGCGATATACTGATAGTACAACAGGAATTGCAATCAAATGAATATCCTTGATTTTGATATAATTTCAGTGCACTTCTCTGCGTGATTTTCATCCCATTTCTGAATTCGCACATCGGACATATGAATTACAGATGTTTGATACTTGGGATGTGCTGAAGGTTTTCATTTGATAGCATTTTCTTGACATTGAGTATAAACAAGGCACAAATCGTCATACAAATGCATACGTATTCGATGAAGCTAGAAATAGAATCCTGAGCAGTCATGTATGCGCTCGGTTTGATTCTAGTTCAGGTAAGCCTTGTTCAGACTATCTTTATTATTTTCGTAAACTGAGCAGGAGAAGTCATGCTCTGGCTATCAAAAAAAAACTATCAGTACTTGTGACAAAATCCAGAAGCTCCGATTTCACGAGAATCATCAAAGTATCCAGTCGAATTATGTTTTGAGCAATGTTCCGCTTTTGCCGATCACTAATGATTTTCTTCTGAATTGAACGAGTAGTCAAATTTACATAGAAAAAGCGGAAGCTTATGAGCAACACCATTATCAGCTGCAATGTACCAGGTGAAGATACGAAGTTTGACTTGTAAGCAGAACTCTTGAAGTTTCATACTGCTCCTAATCTGGCTCGTTACGTCCATTTTACTCGAGCCACTTCATCTGGATGAAAAACTCGTAAAATAAAATGGTGATCTCCCTATTATTATTTCTATTTTCTGCTCCTCTCATATTTCTCTTCGGTAAACCCTTCCTCTTTTTTTGTATCAGCTCCCTCTATGCTCCTGCCCAGTTCGTTCCCGACCTTTCGCTACATTCATTTTTTATATTCTGTATATATTCGTTTTTCAGGTTCTATCTACAAGAGTATCAGCGGCATATGCGTTTGGCGCTGCCCTGACAATGTCAGCTGAACTCGCCTGACACCAGCAGCGGCTCTGATGATGGCTTGGCTTCAACCGGAGCCTATGGAGCCGATACCCGAGGAGGGTACCGAAGACGGGACCGAATGGACGTTGTCGCCGACGAGCAGCGCTCGTCGCACGACACGGAAGCGAGAGATCTTCACGTCAGAGCAGGTCGACACGCTCGTCAGGTCAGCTGACCCGCATGCGTGCGTGCCGACTCGGTTGCGACTCGGTTGCTGTGTTGTGCGGTGTGGTGTCCGTCTAACGGCTAGTGGTCGTCCACTATCACTCTCACACTCGTGTTTTCGCCATTCATCACACTCTCACACGCTCCAAGTCAAGTGCCCGGTACCTGTTCTCACCCCAACTCGATCTTTCAACCCCTTTTGACACCTGATTCATCATTTTCAAGTTTTTTTTTGCGCTGTGGTCTTCTTACACTAACTCATCGCTGATGACAGATCTCGGCCTGATCTTTGCCGTATCCTCTCGTCTCCGCTTATCCTTGAATTTTTTGGATACCAGATTTCTTTCAAATTTTAGCTAAATCACAAACTTTGCTTTGTCGATTCCCCAAGTACAATTGCTGTAATAGCAATTGCTTTTTGACATTTGGGCTGTAACTCACGCTTTCACGTTAAGGTGGTATTTAATCATTCCCTTGGCAGAGTGAATTTATAGCGACGCTGCCGATTTGTCAGAATACTACTACTGTCGAGGGAGACGGTCTTTTCGCACGGGCTGAGGGGCCCTACACCCAAAGGCCCTGGGCGTATAGGTCATTTGTAAAATCGCGACGACGGATTTGACTGCGGTCTTTGCGCCCACAAGAGCACAAAACACTCATACAAAAAGGCATCACCTCGGTGCTCAGCTCAGTCACTTCCATTGTCGAGATACCATCATATGCAAGCAGAAAAAACATTTAAGTAGGGATAAAAAAATGCGGTTGCCGGAAGTGCGTGCGTGACGCGCGCGGTCGCGCCAACGTCACGATTTTTCAAATGCCCTATACATCACAAGATTTCAGTCGCGACGCGATCTGGCAATACTCCAGTTATCATAACCCATCGTAAGAGGTTTCCGAATGTACGAAAGATAGGGCATTTTATCAACCTACGAAAGTTAAACATGCTGTGCATTTGCGGTCTGCCAGTACTGTATTTGAAGATATTCGGCAAATTGCCAGATCACGTAGCGACTGAGATCGCGTGAGATATGCCCACGGCCATAGTCGAATCTATGTAGATGGACATGTGCTGCTCACTTCACGCCTAATTTGAAACTGACGGCAACTTGAAAACGCCCTCTGACATATGTTGCTTCTTACAAGGGAAAAATACTTGGTCGAAGTGGCATTTCCATAAGAAATGTACACTGTCTCATAAAGCATGGAACGCTAATTCCGAATCTGCTTTCGATATCTGCAAAGCGCTTCTGGGAGGGAAGTTATGGAAATTTCTTTACGCAAAACTTTTGAGAAGACGCAGCTATGTACAATAAAATCTTTCAGAACTGTAATCTGTGAGCTTGGAGGGGATCATTACTTGAGGGCGCTTCTTGCAGTTGAAACCCTCATTCCACAGAATTTGAGCTAGTTGTTACTCAATTTAAGCACCGGAGAGACCTCATCACTCGTTTTTACCTTGACCAAAACTTGCATTTTTGTCCCAAGAAACTCTCGTAACTCCCATCCCAAAAGCGCTTTGCATACCGAAAGCGGATTCGGAATCAGAGTCCATGATCTATAAAATAGTACACATTTCTTATGGAAACGCCACTTCGACCAAGTATCCTTTCCTTGTTAGCTCTTTTCCTTCCCGAGTATGAGAGGTAACGCCTAGAAAAGTTAAAAAGTTAACGATCAGCGGAATAGTCCAAAGGTATTGTCTGGGCAAGTTGGGGAGTGGGGGGGGGGAGGCTTTGATAAATTCATACTCATGGGTCAGAGGCTATGTCCCAAATAAGGTCAAAACGATGATTCAGAAGAGGAAAACGATTTAAAAGGCTTCGAAGGACCCCTCAGTGCCAGAAAGACACTAAGAGCGCATTTCTAATGCCTAATAATGTTCATTTCACAATTCTAAGAAATATAAAAGATCATTACGTAATTGGTTTAACCTTGTCGTGAGACCTATTTGAAAGTGGTAATTTCAGATAGCAGAAAGCTAGAAAACTTTGTCCACTATTTGTGAAAGACTTGCACAGCTCAAAATTGGGCTGTTGACTTGGTGACCTCCGGAAAATACGCTCCTTTTCTCCTTCCTCCTCCTTTCCGCCGTCTCCCCTGCGACCTCCCCCTCTTCCTACCAAGATCATTTGAAATCTAGGATTTTCGAATATTCGAATATTTGAATCATTCGCATTCGAATGATTTATTCGAATAATCGAATAATCATTCGATTTGGTCCAAAGTATACCCCTAAGCCCCGCTAGCAGTACAGTGCGAACGTCGCATGCTCAGTAGGGTCCTACGACGGCTGGACGCCTACCTGGGGGGAGGGGGGATAGAGGACTGTATATCGCCGAAAGTGGGAGGTCTCGCCGACTGCAACAAATACACGCTCGGGACCGGCCATACTATTCCCGCGATTGCTGTGGTTCCTGCGAATCCCATAACAATGTGTATTGCGAAAAAAAAACAATGTATACTGAAATGCGCAAAGCGCTCCGTAGTGTGGCACATAGGAAGTGGAGGAATTAAAGGAATCGCAAGTTGCAGGAATCGCAGGAACCTCCTCCTGGGATCGTACGGCCGGTCCCTTCCAGTACATGCACAGGCTGAATATCTGTTGCATTGTTCGTGCGGTACCCTCCCACTTTCGGCGACATATAGTCCTCTATCCGCTGGGCGGGAATTTCACTGAATCATCCAGTTGAAAAATTTACTTTAGAAAAGTTCATTCTTGAAGTAATGCGTCTTAGATGATTAGTGTAACATATTTGCAGCAAGAGAAATCAGCAAGCATGTAGAGATGCACTATTCCGTAGGCCCCGGCCAGACTTCGCTCAAAAGCGCCCAAATTCCTCTAATGTCTCTTCACTTTTTCGTATGAGGAGAGATGAGAGAATTGGAGAAATTTGGGCGCTTTTGGGCGTTTTTGAGCGCTTTTAAGCGCTTTTGGGCGCTTTTGAGCGATGTCTGGCTGGAGCCTTAAAAGACTTTTTTACTTTACAATTGGAAGGTCACAAGACGAGAACCTGGCTGATGTCGTTACCTGTACTTGTTCCGTTGTCTTTACTTGCATCAATGAGTGACCTGTCATTCTGAGATTGTATCTTCCTTGAAAACTGGTTTACTCAATCTTATTATGAGGAACAACAGGTGCTTATTCTGCTGAAACAATGCTGTAAGCATTTTATCTTATCCTAATTCTAGCTCTTCTTTGTTGCATAACATCATTGCATTTGTACTCATACAGTTTTAGTTAATTTCTCCTTAATTTGCTAACCTAGGTTTGGTTATTTGTTCCCCTACGTCGTCGTACTTCCCATTTTTTGAAGTTCTAATTCTATAAACACCATTGAATTTTTGAGACTCTAACCGGATCCACACTCCCGCACTGGTGCTCGTACTAATTTTTTGTTCGTTTCCGTTACTTTCGCACTGAGTTTTTCTAACACGGCGAGCCATCGGTCAGCTGTTACTTTCGCCGGATAATAGCCATGGTTTTTGTGTAGTTGTTGTGCCGTGCGTGTCGTCGGTTTGGTTCTGCGATGCCATTTGGTTGCATCTCACCACAGAGCGGCTGCTCGCCCCTTATCGCTGCTGCTTTTCCCTAACTATCGATCGATGTTTCAGTACTGTTCCAAAGGACACCGTGCCAGCCGATTGGGTCATCGAGAACGAGGTCGTCGATCCACAGTGAGTACTTCAAGTATATACGATCATTTTCAATACCATATTTCTATGTCAGTTCGAATTTGAATTCGGTTCATGTTTACTTTCTTTACACGCTCCGAACAAACATTCATTCTTCCTCGATCGCTCTCAACTTCCGCTGTTTCCAACGAACTACGCTCTTGGTGCACGATTGTGTTCGTGTTCGCTTTTTCCGCATTACACTAACATCTGTTGGTAGTCAGTTAGTAAGGACAGTCATGATTGACTAACGAGAATCTCATGCGTTTAGTACTTTCCGCCATTTGCTCACTTTTGTGACCGCCGTCACTTGCTCACTTTTCTGTCGGGCTTGAATTTTCTGTGTAGCATTAATGAAGCTGCGCCTTCAACAAACAGAGAGGCTTCTCTCTTACGCGGTTTATTCATAAGTTTGCTCAGAGCAATCAAGTTTGCACCAACTCTTCCTGGATGCATAGGTGGTACATCTCTGTTTCGCGTTTACATTTTTGAATCGTTTCAATTCAAACAATCGAACTAAATGTCCTAATCATATCAGGATTTAAACCATCACTCTTCAGAGTCATGCTTCAACTTCGTTTTGTTTTTTTTCTTTTTGTCTCTTGGTGATTCATAATTGTCTTTTCTGAAAGTGATCGAACATTTCAAATTAGAAGAGCCTGTATGCAGATGAAATTGATTACAACGCCTTGAGAGATTAGTAGACATGAGATCGTGACACAGTAAAAGCGGTAAAGGTATGTCTTTTAGAAACTTTCTGTGCCAATGGTAGGTTTAGATAACATAAATATAAATTACAAAGCATATATCATGTGATCCTGCAACAAATAAGGAACCCTGTCATTTTTTTATTCGCTCAGATTGACAGAGATGTTTTTCAAACCGCGTGAAGGTCATGAAATTGGCTATTCAGCCAATAATAAGTGTCCGCATTGAGCATATGTTGGCGTACATAAAAAACCTGATTTTTCAATGTCCATCAAATGTACACCACAAGCATATTCACTTTTTTGGAAAAAAATGTTTTTAATTCCGTTTCACCAAAATTGTTATTGTTCGCCAAATCCACACGATCATTGGGTCTTCCATTAATCGCAAAGGAATGGAGTGTTCAGGAGAGTGGAGACTTACAATTAGAAGTTTATTATCTCATATTAGCTTCCTCATTCTTTTTACTTCAACTAACGGAAGAGTATTTCTTGTCAACAGAGATGATGACATAATGAGGAATCTGTATGTGAAGTTATAATTTGCTTCTCTTTTTACTCTTGAAACAACATTCATCTTCGTGTCAGTCTAGAATTTACGAGGTTGCGACTGCTTGTTTTCTCTTTCTGTTCCGCAATACAAAACATCCCTCCACCTCAATTACTTGCGCTCCAGATGTCTGCGGAAGATTGATACTAATTACTCTTCCATGCTATAATATAATATAATAATAATAATAATAGTGTGTACCAAGATGAGCGATAGCTGGCTATAATCATACCTGCGTCTGCGGTTGTCACTAAGCCGATTTTCTTTTTTAAGTAGTATGTTCATCAATAACCGAGAGGTAAGGTCAGAAAGTAATAAATAAGACACTCTGAGCTCCCGTTTATGAAATTTCTTAAGACGTTGTCGTAGCGTACTTACAGGCTTCAAAGAAAAAATATCTACGCTGTTTCGCCACATCTGACACCACTCATCAAAAAAATTTTTTTTTGTGATTTCATTACCTTTGCAGTACTTCAGATTCTAACGCCATTCCTTATCAGACTTTTTGTTCCATTCTATTTTGGCACCTTTGCTACGCATACACTCACTCTTGAATTTCATATCATTGCTAGTCTAAAAAGCACCTCTATCAAATCGTTGTTAGTATTCCTCAGTATTGAATTTTTACTGTAAATAGTTTGATCGATGTATTTTATTAGTGTGATATATATTGTTTGAGGATGGCTACATCCTACGTGACGGAGTCATTGGTCGGTCCTGCCAGTGCGCGTGGTTCATCGTATACCTACACCTACGAGTCTCACTACGATAATCCTCCCGAAGAAGATGAGGAGGATCGGTATGCCGCAGTCGAAGGCAGTACCACTCATCAAACTCACAAGGTTGGATTATTAGTTGCAAGCTTGAGATTGATACCTTTCCTGTTTTGATTGAGAATTGTATAGCTTACCCTAACTTCATGTTTTACCTTTAATTGGATGTGACATGAGTTACGGATGTCATTAAATGGGTACAATAAGTTTACGTGCGTTATAAGTGTCAGTTATGTAATCATTGAAATTATGTCATTCATTGAAATCACGCCTAGCTGGTTCATGAAGGTTTCAAATTCTTCAGATCACAAGGGTGACTAAAGTCACGACTACGAGATCTGTCAAACAAATCCCTGTGGGAAGTCCCTACTCAGATATATACTTCGACGCCTCCGGCCTTCCTACGCCATCACCTGTTGTTGAGCTTGAGAGTTCTTCAGATGAGTTCGGATTGAGGTAAGCATGACTTTGCCCGGAATTTGTACACAATTCAAGAAAGTTATATTTTCAAGATTACATAGAGAAAACGAAGAAGGTCGGTCAGCTCCTCCACCAGCCCCTCCCTTGGGGAGCCGTTACGTTAATGCCTCTGATGGTTGGTACATGGTGCCATTGCTGCCCTTCTTTTTACTGCAGTCCAAATGATGGATTTGGCATTTTCTGCACGATCCAAGCCTTCACTAGAATATGTTCCTTCAGATACCGATGTACCTTTGGCTCCGAGTGCGCCTGATGTGATCGGAACAGCTGTGGGCGAAGTAACCTTGGCATGGGGCGCTCCACTACAAAAACCTGGTGACCGTCCCATTCTTGGATATCAGGTACATTGAAGACATCTATTTTTTATTGATCGTCTGCTGAAAAAAACCCAAGCTGTGGTTTACCAATTTCAACATCTGGAGCGTTTTTTAATCTTTTTTACCTTTTTGCAGGTTAATTGATCATCTTCAATTTTTATCACACTTCTTGTTTTTTAGATTGAGTTACGCGAATACCCTGATGGTGACTGGGAACGAGCTCATGACCAACTTTTACGGGATACTACATGTACAAGTGGGTCACTTCAAATTTCGGAGACATTATTTTTGCCTAGGGATATCTATGATACTGCAATCATTCCGATTGATGTGAGTATAGTGAAAAAGTAGATCTACAGTGCGACACTTTTACGAACCAAACTTCACCATAGTTCCCGAAATTTACTCCTTCCCACGCGGCTTTGCTAATCTCCTATGGGTAGCGGAAAAAGCAAGGACTCGCAGTAGCACCTCTCCATAATCCGACCTGTTCTGTGTGATGTACCTCATGCATAAATTCTTATCGTTCTTGCATATCGTTCAGCGTAGCCAGCACTTTCCACTGCGTGTATCGTGGTTACGATGCACGGAATGAAATGCGAATTCATGCCCAAGATGATAACAAAGTTGGGCATTTTTTGTTTGCCCTTTGCAAAAGAGGCGAATAGTCGTTCAGCAGACGTCCGTTTTCTTTTCCTTGCTCACAGATGTCATGCTTCGTTGAGCTCTTTTTGTTTATATTCGCGCTGTTTCATCAAAGAAATGTTTATGTTTTCTTGTCTGCCCCATTAGTCTTCATTCACTTTACTACGCTACTTCCGTCTTATTCTTCTATTTGTTGGCACTTCGATTTGATTTCGGTGTAGAGTTATGGAACAGATACACAATTCCTTGGAGTTTTCTTATTCACTAATGCGTCAGTTTTTCTGATTCATGTCCATTTCTGCCTTCTACCAATTCTCCATACGAGAATGCTGAGAGTACTTCCTTTATGCTTACATCATTTCTAAAAACTCCATTTAGTCCGATCGACATACTTGCTAATTGTTTTAAGATTGGAAGTTTTGGAAAGAAATCTATTCTATGTTGGTTTTGTTCAGCCAACGTTATTTGACTTGATACATCAATGCCAAGAGGCATGCACATTCACTAATGACTATCTATGGTTATAGGGTCTAGGTTGTAAATTTATGAAAAAGAGTATAGTTGAAGGAATTCTTTTCGAGGGGAATAGTCATAGGAAAAGCGTTCTCGCTATACTTTGCTCGCCAAGAGTTTTTGGGAAGGCGCATATGTGAATTTTTGAACAGTTTCAAAGCAAAAGTTTTGCTTGCCTTTATCTACGGTGTAGCAGTGCGCCATCTTTCTTGTACATTGCCGCACAACTTTTGATAAGCTGAACATGCAACTAGGCATAGAGGCTAGATATCTATCACTTTTTGTTGGTCCATAAGATTTGGAAAGGAGAATTCATGTCAACGAAATAGGCGCCTGCTCACTTGATTAAAACTTCATGAACATTTTGCACAGTCCAGTTGCCTTTTGAGTTATCCTGAAAAGCGGCTTTTTTGGCTACGTTGGAAAACATATTCTTTTCTATATATCCCGTTTCTTGAACCATGCTTTGTTGTCCCTCAAGAAAAATTGTCAGCCTTCTTGACAGCTTTTACGCAAGTTTGCAATATTTAATCAGTAGTCTATAAATTCATACTCACATCGACTTACTGGGAACTTGATTATTATTTGACATTGCTTACACAGCTGAAATAATCGACTCGTTCTACTTCCCTGACTCACTATTTTTTAGACATTGCTGCTATCTGAGTCTCGGATTTCATATTTCCCCTTCATTTCTCTATAACTGGCTTTGGATTCGATACCTCATGATTTTATTCTATCCTGATAGTGGAGAATGTGTCATTGCCATTTTTACTCACAATCAGATGTGTATTTCATTGTCTCACCAATTTGCAGTTTTGCTCATTTTCCGGTGCCAAATCTCTAGACTTGGTATTTTTCTCCAACATTCCTATAAAGCGTGTCTTCTTTCTGTATAGATTCTGTCGAAGGAGCAGCTTACAGAAACATATGAGCTGTGAAACGGTTGTGGTTCGCGAAACAACGCAGACAACGCGAATCAGCAGTGTAGAACGACGTCGTCGTAAGGCATTGCAAAGCTCTGCTGACCATCTGGACACTGACTGTCAGCAGCGGCTGGTTCATAAGTTGGTTAAGGAACCGAAACCACGGAGATCGAGGTCACGCGTCAGATGGACTGACCAAGTAAACGATGCTGACCTTTCCGAGCGTATCTCTCCGCGGAAGTTGCACAGATATGGAAAAGGAGAAGGTGTGAAGCCTACACATGCTGTTTTTCCCTGACTTTAAATTGTTCAATAATCTGCTTTTAAAGCTTGTTCAATAATCTGCTTTTAAAGCAAAGATGGAGTTTGCCCTGCGATAGTAAACTGCAGTAGCTACGAGCTTCTTTTATGAGGCCGTGACTAGCAGATTTTATCTTTCGACTTGGTTACTACAGCTTATTACGATTTGATAACTGACCGCAAGCGCTGGAACTTGTCGTCTTATCGCAGTTAGCGTAAGTACTTGAAGAGGAAACGTGCGTAGCTGTGTTATAGCTGTGGCAATCATGTAGATGCAAAAAAATGCAAAAAAAGCTTGAGCTTGAAATCAATGCTTGGCAGAGAGCTCAATCAGTTTCTCATGTAATCACGTGAACGACATCAAACACTGATTACAAACTATCTGTCTATTAGCTTATTCAAATCTTTTTTATTCACTGCAGCCTTTTTTAAATTGATCATTTACGTTCGCGAAAGCTTGATATCCATTTCAGTGTCAGATATCTAGCTGAATCGAAATTAAATACGAGTTTCACATATATCATTTATTTGTTAGTAGTGTTGGTAGTTAGTAGCTCCATCAGTTTATTTTCTTTTTTTTCTGAGTCTGTCTAGGTATCTTCATCTGCTTTTATTTTCAAAGTATATGGTTCTTAATACCTTCTCAGTCTTTATAGCTCAGCACATCTCAGCATGTGAGCGAGTTCTCATAGTTCTTCATGTAAGTCAGCTTAGAATCTGTCATCGCTGTGGTAATTTAAGTACGTCGGACACCTGACCATTGCGCACAACTCTTTTCTGCGTCCACATGCGGTTTTTGCTGACCTTGTGCGCGATCCTTCTCGCTCAGTGCTGACGCGTAATCGCCCATCTTTTCTCACTAAGCCTGTGGTTTTTTTTCATAACGTAGATTGAAGTGAAGATCTTTCACATCTAATTCTATACCCACTTCTCTCTTTTTTCTGGGAACAAGAATTGGGAGAAGTGGGAGGGTACCTGAAAACTTGCTTGTGGCTCCTCACGTCGTATCCGCAGTCGCTTACGCTAAATGCCCAGAATTTGAATGAGTCAAATAATTTGGTGTGTGTAGTATAGCAAACTTGATCTTTGGACTTTTGGGCGGATAAAATTTAGAGATGGGGAGGAGCGTAAAAGAATAAAATCCATATGGCGCGACTATCATGTTTTGAACTTCGCTCGCTGTCTTCTTCCATTGATTTATCATCATCTTGGTCCAGGTGATTTTTCTGCTTCTGTGAAAGTAAAGGTGAAAATTAGAAAAATTAAAAATAGCAGTTTGTTTTGAAAATGAGGATGACTTGATTTTTTCAACATCAATCTTTAATTCTTTTTTAGTTACTAATCTGGAGGGCTGCGTTGGAGAAGTGCAATTCCGGGTATCCGCCGCAGGCCCTGGAGGCTTCGGGCCACCGTCGATGTCATCGGTCCCTGTCTCAGTCCCTATGGAAATGTCGGAAAGAGGCACTACCGGTAAGCTTTCTTCTCCACGTCTTGAAATCTTTTCTCCTTGTTTCATTTGCTATAAATTTTGCGTGACGGCAGGCGGTAAGGCAGCGCACCTACCAATCTAAAGGTTCGCGATGTCAAGGGCGTCTGCACAGCATGCTACCATTCGCCGGCGTTTACACCTCGTTTCTGTTTTCTTGCGCCGTGTTGTAGTCGTAATTCTATAAATACAATTTGATATCATATGATAGGATGCATATACGCACTCTCTTTCTGCTTCTGTAGACTGGGAGTTAGAACCTGATTCTTTACGTTTTCATTGCTCTTAATTGATAGACTTGTTTATAGTTTACCACTCCATCTATCTTCTCTGACATATAGTATTGGCGCAAGCTCAGTTGGTTCTCTGCAACAGTGAGAAGTTATTTTGCAAGGTCTTCAACTCTTGGATAGTGTATTTTGAAATCATTGCGCAAACACGCGAGAAGTACTGTCTGTCTGAAGATGATGGGCAGAATGCTTTCTATTGGCTACTTAGCAGTCTGCAGCATTATTTTATGCCATTTACTTATAGTTTACTTCCATTTTTACAGGTCTTCCCCTATCCCCAGGACGGCCGACAGTCGTTTCTGTCGACGGTCATCGTGCAACAATAGAGTGGTCCCCTCCTACAATCGATCCGAAGACAGCTCCGTTAGCTGGTTACCAAGTCAGTTCTATCATGGCTTGTCCTCATCTCTATTTTCATCTTACGTTTTGAGGTAGAGTATCGTGTGTACGGTACTGTTGATTGGATGGTCGCGAACGATACATTGGTTCGCGAATGCAGTTACACAGGTATGTCGCGATTTTGAGGGTGTGCGTACTTTTGTAAATATCGTTTTCTTTATAGTTGAGAACCTTCGGCCGAATGGAGTGTACGAATTTCGGGTCCGTGCACGGAATGCCGATGGTCTGGGAGCACCTAGCCGTTCATCAGGGGCCACTCACATAAAACCCGCGGCACCTCAGCGTGGAGCTGGTTCACGTCCCATTGCCGCTAGTCTGCGGCCACCGGGCCAGCCTCAGGTTTGTACCAGTTTTATTAAGAGAATATTTATTGATCTTTGTTCGATAATCTGAACTTTTTTACAAGATGCTCGAATTTAGTTGGTCGAAGCTGACATGGAATGGGTTAAGCTGGAGTGGGCACAATCTGAGGAAGGCGCTGGCTATATAGTAGAATTTCGAGAAGTTGGAGATCCGAACTGGTACACTGCGAATCAGCACCCTATCGTCCAAAATTGTATTCATGGTACGGTTTTATATATTATTTTCCAACTTTTCGATTTGAGTGGTTTTTTTAATCAAAGTTTTTTTATTTTGTTTGTTCATGAATCCCTTCGTTACAGTGGAGGGACTTCGACCAGGGTCTACATATGAATTTCGTGTCATATGTGTCGCTGGTGATTCAGCTTCTATACCCTCTGAAGTTTCTGATGTTATCTCTTTGCGTCCACTGTGGAAGCGTGAGTATAAGTTGCGTGAACCCTTCGGACAGAAATTTTAGATTCATTTTTAGCTACCTCAATGCGCGGTGTTCCCGCAAAGCCTCAAGCACCTGAGTATTTAGAAGTTGATGGTGAACGGATAACAATTTGCTGGTTACCTGCTCACAGTACTCTGCCTGTTTTGGTAGGCTCTTATAAATCATTTTGGTCACATTCTCTAATTATCCATCGGTTTAGGGTTATGACGTTGAATTTCGTGATTTTCAACAAGATGCCGGTTGGTACAAAGTAAATGATCAGCCCGTGCACGCCTGCAAAATGACGGGTAAATTTTTTTGGATCAGTATGTTTTTAATTGCATTTTCTCATTTAACACTTTTATGATCTTTAACTCTTGACAATATCTTCTTTTCTTTTTGTTTTTTTTTTTGAAGATCTTTCGTTTTCTAAATCAATACAGATGTTACGTGCGCCGACTTTTTTCCTTGGGTATCCTAGACCAAAGTCGGTTGTGGCAAAGATTATCTCCTGGATGTGGTTTTTCCACATATGATTTTGGTCATCTGATAGCAAGTATATACAAGGTGTCCCAAAAAGATGTGCACACTGTTTGATTCTTAATAACTCTCTTGCTTTCATGTCTTTTGACGAGATTGAGGTGACATTCTGCAGAGCGAGGTTCAATTTTGATTTGCTGTATAGAGCGAATTATCAGTCTCTCTTCATTACTGTAGGATTACGGTAGGAACTTCGAAGAGAATTTTAAGCAGTTAAAAGCGGTATTTTGCCTCGGAAAAAAAGCCACACGAGCCAGGAACTCTTAATCTGGTCGAATCGAAGTTGTTGATCTGAATATTTCATTTCAATATAATGCTTCCTTCATTAGTTATTCAAGATTTAGGGTTACAACTGTCTTTCCAATGTTCGTCAGAAATGTGAATACGCCATCAAGAAAGCTCGAAATTTGCTAAAAAGTTGTGTAGTGAAATCACTACGACAAAAAACCTTGCTACACAAGTTTTCAGATTTTTTGAAATAGTTCGTCAAAAGTCCTATTTCACTGTGACGCTGTATGCTGGAAGTTCATACCGTAATCCTACAGTAATGAAGAGTGATCGATGATTCACTCCATACTTTAAATCTAAGTTTAACCTCACTCTACAGAACGGTACCTCAAGCTTTTCAAAAGACATGAAAGCAAGAGAGTTATTAACGATCAAACAGTGCGCACATCTTTTTGAGACATCCTGTATGTCTATATAAGTATCAGACAGTCAATCATGAAAGAACTGGGGATATTTTTGAGATCTTGGATACTAGAGGTTTTTGGTTGATATAGATCGTATTTGCGTCTTCTGTTTGTACTATTTTATTTATGCCAGTTCCGTGCTTATTCACGCTAAACTGCTTTGCTAGCCTGCACCATTTTTGTTGCATCTTCGACTATGAGTTTCTGCGTCTCTTTCCAACTGTGCTACGATCTTTTGTTTTTAGTTGGCGATCTAATCGTGGGACATGAGTATCAGTTTCGAGTGCTGGCTCACAACGTTGTTGGTTGCTCAGAGGCATCCGAACCATCTCCGCCGGTTACCATACATGCAAGTGCAAGTAAGCCTTGGTTCGCTGAATAGCGATGTTGTGGTCGTGTTGTAAAGGACATGCCTTTCTGTTGCAGCTGGTGATGCGAAGTACGTTGAAGCTGAAAGATTTGGAGCGATAAGGTTGCTGCAAGAGGAGATGATTCGAGAATCTCCACCTCTTCCTGAGAGAGATGATTCGCCTCCACCTCTGCATCGTGGGAAAGGTTCTGACAAGTGTAGGATATGTTGTAGTCTCGTGCTGAGTTTGGCGTCGTGGCTTAGTTTATGTAATCCTGCTCTTTTATCTTCATGAAATCAATGCATCTTCAGTGCAATGGCGTGACCCATCATTGAAAGAAGTAATCGACTACCTCGATAATCCTGATAGAGAAAAACAGCTGAACGCCAGCGGGTATTTGCAGCATTTGACGTACAGTGATAATCTGATCAAGGATGAAACGAGGTGCGCCATTTTTTTCTTTTTGCAACTTTGTCCATATCTAATCTTTATACTTTGCAGAGAGTATGGTGGAATCCCCAAGTTGATACAGTTGCTACGGAGTGAACTACCAGTGATACAGAAGAACGCTTGTGCATGTCTGAAGAATCTATGTTATGGGAAGGAAAATGATAGGAATAAGGTGTGCTTCATTCTGTTTCCTTTCTTTTTTGTTTTATTTTGCCTTTATTTTCTTATTTACTTCCCGATTTACTGCCTCAAATTTATGCAAACAAAAGTTCTTCTGGAGCCATTTGGGGTCTAAAAAACCAACGTCTGTACGAAAAAGCCAAAACAAACGTTCCACCGCTCTTTGATAGTACTTGGCTGCATTGTTTGGGCACTAGCTGTTCGCTCGAATGTGAGGTCAATGGAGTACAGGAGAGCGCGAATCGCCGCAAGTGTACCATATTTGTGCACTTGCAGCAATTCGCGCGATAGCTAGTAGAAGTGAGATTTTTGGCATCTTGTGTTCAGGACCATCCTTGTTATTTGCACATCCATCGTCATATGGGTATTATCGAGCAACTCCTTTCCACAAAAGAGCTCGTCGAATTCTTGGATGAGCATATGTTCTTGTGCACGGTATCCAAAATCCTGCATGTTTCAGCTAGCTGTCTTGGATGGTGATGGTATCAGAATGTTATCATCCTTACTGCAAACTACCCACGATCCGGGAGTTAAAGAGGAGGCCACCGCCGCTTTATGGAACCTGTCCAGCGCCGATATGCTCAAACCGGTTATACTAGAAGCGGCAACCGAAGCATTGGTTCAGCAGGTTTGACCATTCTGTTCTTGTTTTTCTCGATAGTAAAGCAGGATTTGATGCTCTGAATTGCCTCATTGCCCCATCAGCCAGTGACTCTCATGCGCTTGCGCCTTAGTACAAGATCTTTTACAAACTTTGCGGAGCACTATTTCATAGCATTTTTCGTGGAGGAAACGACTTGATTCACGTATGCACTTTTTGCATCTCAGATATGTGATCTTTGATTTTTACAAAATTGATGTGTTGTCATAGCCGTTTTATCCACTAAAGTATTATGAAGAACTCCGACTTGTTTTCCGCTTCTTTTGCGGTATAGCACTTTATATTGAATGTTCTAGGCTTGTCCACCATCAAATGGATATCAGCATAATGGCATCGCAAACGACAGCGACCCGTCTCGCCATTATAACTCGGCAACCTTCAAAAACGCTACGGGCGTATTGAGGTAGCATATCCACCAATTGTTTGCAATTTTGAAGTCAGTTTTGCTCCTCAGGAATATCAGCGCAGCAAATGCCAGTGCACGGAAGCGACTCCGTGGATGTCCAGGTCTCATCGAGAGCTTGGTGCAGTTTCTGACAATTGCCATCCAGCGAAATCAAGTGGACTCGCAATCGGTGGAAAACGTCGTCTGTTTGCTCCGGAATCTGAGCTACAGGTTGGTTGTCTGACAGCTTCTGTGATGATTTGGTTGTGCAAATGACATCTCAATATTTATGGCTCATGCACTGTAATCATTTTGGACATTTTCATACTATTTTCACTTTAGAATACAAGAAGTAGAAGATCCAAACTACGATCCTGCTACCGCACATGTGCTAGCCACTAGAGGAGGTAATAAGTCGGCACCCAATAGCCCCAAGCCCAAGAAGGAGAAAGAGAAGAAGAAGATAGACGTTGCACGAGAAGCTGTCACGGTAAGAGCTAGAGGGTTTTGTTAACGGCGAAGTCAATTTTGTTGGCTGCGAATTATGTTTTGTTGGATGCGAAATAGGATGGGATTCCGTAATCGAATAACCTAAAATTAATTTATTGAGCAGCAAGAAAGCATTTATTCTAGTCAAATTTATAACCGGGTCTTGCTTTACGGCATAGAACCACCGTATTGCTAGCACAAGCGGGCCCGACGAGCATATTTTCTTTGCCGCCATATCCTGCTGCTGATCTTTCGTTCTTGATGTCAACTTTTCCAAGAATTTGTTTGCCATCCATAGTTATCACGCCCGCTGAGATATCTCCTTTGTCGTTATTGACGTGCACTGGAATCCACTCCTTGTCTTTGTCAAATGACGCAGCCTGAATTCAAAATATGATCATTATAATATTTTCCTCGTGGGCTTCCACCATACCTGCGGGAATGGAATCCAGCTGTAATCGAAGCCTCGCACATGTTCGGAAAGGTGAACTAGTACTTGAATAGAGCCTACATTGCCCTTGTACTCGTTCTTGTTCCAGCAGAAGTTGGCTGCCACCTAGAAGTTGATATTTTCAACTTTTAACATCTGCAGGCCAAGCTTCTCACTTTTCCGCCTTCGTTCCATATGCGCCCCATGACAGGCTCTCCCTGCTGGTACCATAGTGCCACATACTGGTCTGGGTTTTCTCCCGGAATGGTGTCGAGTGTCTTGTCGAGTGCTTTCACCAAAGACTTGTCTGGCCAAGGATCTCCGGCACGAATATCCATCCATTCGTCGATCATTACCCTAAATAAATTTCTTCACTTTTGAAAGAAAACCGTTGGGTAGTTCCTCAACCTTGGTGGCGGTGGTCCCGGTGCAGGTGTAGGAGGTGGCGGTGGCGGTTTCGGGCAGTGTGGACAGTCACAGAATGGCGGTCCTCCAACAGTGTTTCTCATAATGATGTACATGTCGCCGAGTTCGCCTCCTTTCTTCTCGTAGACTTTTCCGTCACACGAAAACAGTGCAACCTCTGTTTTGTTATCAACGTATCCTAGCAATGGTCCCTGAAAGACTGCTTCTCAATATACAGAACTCTGAAAACGGAGCTTTTCGGGCTCACCTCGGGTCTGTCTTTCCAGAAAATCGGGAATGAGTCTCCACATCTTACAAGTTGGCGGCCTTCCGCTTTATCGAAACGTTCCTTGTATTTGATCCATTCGTACCAGAAGCCTTGCGTGTTATGATCGCCCATATATTGAAGTACCTGTCATAGCGATAGAGTTCTTCATCTTAGGCATACTGCGTACCTGGATATTTCCTTCTAGCTGCTGCGCTGTTCGCAGTTCGGCTTTTTTGTAGGGAAATGAGCATTCTACGACTCCTCCATTGTTCCAAGAACGTCCATGAATTGGTTTTCCATGTTTGTACCATAGTGCGACATACATATTCTGTTCTCCCATGACCTACAAAGTTTGGCTGAAGTCTAAATGGCATCTGACATTGCATCCGAAGCCACCTTCACAGGATGCGGCGGGAATGCTGTTCCAATCTTCTGGAATGCCCAAGTATCTTCTTTTGGTGGTGGATTTGGCATCGCGTCGTCAAAGTATAGAACCAAATGAAATTGCTTACTCGTTTGATCACTTTTATATTGTCGCTGATCATTGCGATAGTCATGATACGTTATCATTTTTCAATTTCAATTATGCACAGACTGAGCTTTGTCTATGTGGGTCTATCACTTACCGTTGCAAGTAGATACTTCCATATAATTCGAAGGCTCTTTCAAAAGAAAGTGCATCAAGCAAATTATTCAAGCAAAAGGTGCCTCAATTTGGCGTTTTTCGTAGCCATTGCAGTGATGCCTAAGCGAGGTCACTTTCTGAAGGTCGCTGCTACGTACAGAGGCCTGCGTGTCAGTGCTGTGCTAGCCCCGTGCCAGCTCCGTCGATCGATCAGTAAGGCGCGCTGACACGACGCTGGCCTGGGCAACCGGACGCAGACTTAGATCTTCTAAATTCGATGTCTTTCATATTCGTCCTATTTTTCCTTCTCATTTTCTACTAGCAAAACAAGAAATAGTATCTGCCTACCTAGGTGCGCAAGGATAGAGAGTAAAAGTTTTGCCTTGAGTTTACGTAAAAGGTAGATACGATGTTTATCAATCAATGCTGAAACTTTTGTTCAGCCGATGTACAAAGTCTGCGTTTCTTCATACTCATGTTCTAACATCACAGAGGAATATAGGTAGCCGTAGAATAATGCTGCTCAATGCAGTTTTTTTTGCTCTGCTTACTCAATGCCTTATCTAGTTGTGATCTCAATGAACTCTGGTACCGTTCTTCGAGTGGTTTCTTTTTTGCAGCCGTCCTCAAACAGAGTAACGCTGAAGCGGTGCAAATATTCTTTCTAGAAGTTTCTCATTGTATTAGCGTTCATAGAGGCCTTTTGTTCGTTTGCATGCGATGCGTACATTGCGAGAAATGCTGAAAGGAGTAGAAGAGTCAGCAGCTCGCAGCTGGCGCTATCCTCATCTCAACACGAGATTCATGCTCTCCGCATTGCTTTTGTTCACTCGGAGAGGGAGAGAAATGGAAGCTTTTCATGAGAAGAGGTTGGTTTTGGAGACTAGAGAAGCGTTTGCTGCTCCAACCTTGAACCAACCTCTTCTTATAAACTCTTTTTTTTTGCGCCTCTAATCAGAAGGTTTCTTTACTTCAAATGTAGTGCAAACGGTCATCGAAATCTGGAAAAGATTTCGGTAGAAATCTGTTACATAAGCTTTTCGCACAGTAGTACTTTTTGCTTTCGTTTACGAAGGATTCAACACAGATTTTCGAAAAGATTATAATAGTGTAGATTATGGCACAGCGGTTACAAGGCGTCTACTGCACAGTACCAAATCTCAAACTCTTGCTTGGACCCACTCTTTGATTGTCCTTATTGTCGCCTATAGGGCCGGGCATACTTCACGCGATTTCGGTCGCGACGCGATTAGCAATTCGCCAGAAGTCTTCAGATCCAATATTAGCGAACTGCACATGCATAGCATGTATAACTTGAATGGATTGCTAAAACGCCCTATCTTATGTACATTTAAAGTGTGTTTACAGTGAGTTACGGACAGTTGGAATATTGCCAGATCGCGTCGCCATTGAAATCGCGTGAAGTATGCCTGGCCCTTATGGCTAACGATTAATACTCAACAGTGCAACAAATTGTTTATTGACTAATCAAATTTGTATCCTGGTTTTGCTTTGCGACATAGTACAACTGTGTTACTGGCGCAAGCGGGCCCGACGAGCATGTTTTCTTTGCCACCAAACCCAGCTGCGGACCTCTCGTTCTTGATATCGACTTTGCCCAGGATCTGCTTGCCATCGATAGTTATTACGCCAGCAGAGATATCTCCCTTGGTGTTGTTGACATGCACTGGAATCCACTCCTTGTCTTTGTCAAACGACGCAGCCTAAACAGTACGATGTATTTTCCTGGTGATCTGCTTCTGTTCTACCTGTGGGAAGGGAATCCAGCTGTAGTCGAAACCACGAACGTGCTCGGAGAGATGAACCAGTACTTGGATGGAACCGACGTTGCCTTTATACTCGTTCTTATTCCAGCAGAAGTTGGCTGCCACCTAGAAATTGAAATTTTCGATCTTGAAATTCTGGAGGCCATGCTTCTCCTCACTTTTCCGCCTTCGTTCCAAATGCGACCCATAACGGGTTCTCCTTGCTGATACCATAATGCCACATACTGATCCGGGTTTTCTCCAGGGATAGTGTCGAGTGTCTTGTCCAGAGCTTTCACCAAAGTTCTGTCCGGCCAAGGATCTCCTGCACGAATATCCATCCATTCGTCGATCATTACCCTGAAGATTGGTTTGTGCTCTGCTCTGGATATGTATTTCTCTTACTTTGGTGGTGGTGGTCCAGGCGGTGGCGGTGCAACCTTGCAGACAGAGCATTCGCAATGTGGCGGTCCCCCTTTGGTGTTTCTCATGATGATGTACATGTTGCTAAGCTCGCCACCCTTTTTCTCATAGACTTTGCCATCGCAGGAAAATAGTGCGATCTCGGTCTTGTTGTCGACGTAACCCAACAGTGCTCCCTGCAAGTAGTATTGGTTGCTGCAGTCCATTGATGCTCAAAATTTACCTCTGGACGGTCTTTCCACAGGATTGGGAAAGAATCGCCACAGCGAAGTAGTTGGCGATCTTCAGTCTTTTCAAAACGGTCTTTGTACTGGATCCATTCATACCAGAAACCTTGCGTGTTGTGATCTCCAGTGTATTGTAGTACCTAGAATCAATGCCATCTTGGTTTTGCAATTCTTCGGCACAGCATACTTGGATGTTTCCTTCCAGTTGTTGTGCTGTTCGTAGTTCGGCTTTCTTGTAAGGAAAGGAGCACTCGACGACTCCTCCGTTGTTCCATGATCGTCCATGAATTGGTTTTCCGTGCTTGTACCATAACGCTACATACATATTCTGCTCTCCCATAACCTGGAAAGAACTAGGCTTAGTTGAATCCACCGCACCTCTGCACTCCCTCACCTTAACAGGGTTTGGCGGGAAGGCGGTTCCAATCTTTTGAAAAGCCCATGTATCCTCTTTCGCTGGTGGATTCGGCATAGCTTCGAAGAGTGCAGAAATTGACTGAGCGAAAATGAAGCTTACTACTTTCATGTGCGGGTATTTATAGGTTCCCGAGAGCTTATCATGTTTGAATTTGGTTCAAAAATCAAGTTCAATTTTCACCTTTAACTGGTTGTTCATTCCAGAATCGGAGCAATGATAGAGTGTAGTGAATAGAAAGGGCATAATTTCTTGGGTAAATCTGAAATTAGGAAAAGATTCTTAGCTGAGCATTTGGTTGGATACGGATTCGGTTTCAAGGAATACTGTTGCTTTTTGTTTACGCGTTTCCCAGTTATCTTCTGAGAACATCCAACGAACTTCGAAAAAAAAACTTATTCGCACAGTCTATCCAAATATATCATTTAGAATCTGGGATCACTTTTGATTTTTAGGGTCCGGCAGTGCTATGGCAACCGTATGTGGTGAAGTTATACCTGAAACTTCTCCAAGAGGCTTCTAACTTGGATACGTTAGAGGTAAATCTTGAAACTGCACATTTCTATTTTCTGAAGCTCTTTCAGCTTTTTGATTAATGAATGATCTTCTAGGCATCTGCTGGAGCCATCCAGAATCTAGCAGCATGTCAGTTCACTCCAAGCGCTGACGTTCGAGCAGCTGTTCGAGTCGAGAAAGGACTTCCTGTGCTTGTAGAGTTGATTCGGCTGAAGGAAGACTATGTTGTATGCGCTGTTGCAACAGCGTTGCGAAATCTGTCCTTGGATCCGAGGAATCGGGAACTTATTGGTACGATTTCATGTTTTTCAAAGTCTTACGGGTGGCAAAGGTCAGCACTTTCAGGTAAATATGCTCTGCGAGATCTGATTGATAAGCTTCCCGATGCCGGTGCTCGACGGGCGTCTGTAAGTGATCAGACTATAGGCGCTGTGCTTGGAATCCTTTTCGAGGTTGTCAGAAGTAGCGCAACATTTACGAAGGATGTTCATGAAGCGAGGGGTGAGCCTTGGTTATTCCAAAAGGCTCATATGCATACCCTTTTTTAGGCACTGAAAAGCTGCGAGCTCTGGCACGAAGTTATCCTACCTTTTCACATCGAGTGTGCAAATACGCGAGTCAGGTCCTGTACATGATGTGGCAACATAAGGAACTTCATGATGGATTCAAACGGAGTGGCTTGAAGGAAGCGGACTTCTACTCAGGAACAGCAAGGTTGGTTACCATGGCTATCCAGGCTTGCTCTGGGTGTCAGGCTCTGTTTTCAGGGTGTAGATAATTGGTGTTAACGATAATTTGGTGAGTTCTCGTGCGTGGCTGGTAGTAGAACAGACTTTTGTTTTAGGGGCGATTCAGCCACTTTAGCCCGACCGATATCGAGCCAAGGTCGGGAACGACCTGCACAAGCCTTGTTGGACGACACAATGAGTAGCGGAGGATATGGAGCTGTTGCGGAAACACAGGTAAATATTCTCTCATTTGTTGTCTTTCTTTTCGGAATTTGTCTTTTATCTGATTTTCCCCTATGTATTGGTGTTGGTATATTGTCATGTTAAGCGTAAACTATGATTTTCAAGGTGTACTTCATGATTAGGCATAGTTTTTTATTTATTGAAGTATTCCTAGATTGAAGCATACCTAGATTAGTTTTTTTTGTGAACATGCTCTGCATTTTGAATAGTGTTATAGTCTAGTAGATCTTCCGCGTTATATATTTTGCTTGGTGCCGAGATAGTCGAACAAATTTTTGCGTGAAAAATGGTCATGCCAGTAACGCCGGCGTCTTGCGCGCACAGGTTGCCGGAATTACAGGCATAGCTATTTGTTAGCGCATTTGGTTGCCCATTCTCGGCACTTCAAGCACACTATACGAGGCGGAAATTCTACTAAACTGTGGGTAAGATGTCTATATATTCCACCCTCTAGCTCTTTAGCATTTTGAGGTGCCATCGAATCCAGAGTCCTCTCAAGGAAAAGGTAAACGTTGTTTTGGTGCTAGATTGTTAACAGTTTCTGTGGCTCATGGTAACGAGAGAGTGTTTACCCATTACTTTATTCAACACCTTCATTTTTTATTGACTTTTTTAGCTTTGTTGAGCTTGTGCTGTGTTATTAGCCTGAAGTTGCATGAAAACGTTGGAAATTGTTTTTTTAGCGACGACCGCAACCACCGCAGTACCAGGCAGCTAGTCCTGCTCAGAACGGACAACCGCGGTACGATCGTCCACAAGGCGAGCCACTTTACGCCTCTGTCCGGAAGGGAAACCAGACCAGAGGCGTGGACGACAGTTGGGTATGAAAGCCATGACGTGCTCATGATCTAACCTTCCCAAAGTTCAAATTCGGCTTTGAGCCTGTGATAGTTACGTGATTTACCAGTGTAGATTTTCTATGTCCAGTGCACTGCCATTGAATTAGGTACCATCGGTACCTAACTCCATAATTGTTGTCTTATCATCCCAACCACTTCCCATGTCAAAATCTCATGTCTTACTTATTATTCTCACCGGTATATTGAAGCGAATTTTGTAGTCATTGCTGTTCTGTATATAATGTGAGACTGAGGTGCATCTAACACTTACTGCTATATGTTAGCTGATGATTTAGCAACCTTATAAGAGTATGTGCTCTCGTTCACTTCATGTCCTCATCTGTGCAAGTGTGTCCATTATGAACACGTACAATACCTTTCAGTGTGGCAGCTGCAGCGGGTATGCTGCCGCTAGTAATAGCTCATCCTTTTCCTGCAATTTCTTTGTTACCAGTTTATTTCATTGTTTATTCGCTTTGAGGACAAAAAATTCACTTCAATTTTGATGTATCAATGTCTTGTTTTTGATTTTTATGTTTGTACATGTTCACTTTAGAGTGACCGCAAGGTGATAAATTTTTTCATTTAGATTTTAGAAGCTAAATATGTGTCATTAGACCCCGATACTTTGCAAGATCATCAGCGCAAAGGTATAGAAGGTTTTGCGTAATCACGAGTTTAATTAGTACGCAAAGTACGCAAGAGAGGGTGAGCCTTAAACGGACCAGAGGTGTTGTTCATTGCGAGTTGAACGTGCAAATTTGTTTGTAATCAAGCTAGTGGAATCCACACTTCTATTCTTTGAGGAGTAATTTAGTGCCATTGTCCTTCTCATCTATGTAGTCTAGTATTTATGACGGTTCATAAAGTGTCCTTGCAGTGTCATTCACTTGCACGTGAACAAAATATGAGTTCTGTAATGCTGACAGTTTGCGCGGGTTAAAAGGTTCGAAGTGCGCACTGTAGCCTTTTGTTTACGCGCAGATGTTGTCTGCACAGTTGCTTTGTGTGCAACCATAGTCTCTCTCTCTCTCTCTCTCTCTCTCTCTCTCTCCCTCTCTCTTGCGTTAACGATTTCTTTTGACAACTTCTCATAAAATCTGCTGAAAGCAGTCTTGCATATGTTTCCTATGGAGACCAGCAGCCGTATCGGCCGAATTATTCGCTCACATTAGTACTCCGAGTGGCGACTGCATTTCAAATTGGTCTCTCATTAGCTGTTTTTACATCTTAATCCAAAATTAGTGCTTGTATAAGCTAGCATCAGCGCTCTGGTATACAGTTGTGCCTGGGGTCATAGGAAAGCAGCTTTGTCAACTGTTGTAGGAAATTTAAACGCTGTGTTCTAACGCAGACTGCTCTATCCATGACATAGTCTCTCTTTTATCTGTAGCGAATAGTTGGTAGAACATAGGCGGATATCCACGGTTACTTCCCACATCACGAGCGAATGGTTGACGCGAGGGGACATAGGCGGTCCTTTTGTTAGAAAAGTTTTTGTCAACTTTTGTGTGGTTTCCAACACTGCGGAGCATATTGACTGAAAGTGACATCAAAATTCGGCATCAGCTATAGCAAATGTTCTTTCAACACAGGGAGGGGACGACATGCATGCGCTGTATCTGTTCGGCTGAGTTGAGTTCCACGTCGAGCGCCTTATGAATAGCACCACTGCTTCTTTCTTACGGCGTCATGACATGCAAAGTATTGCTTGACACCTATTCGTTATATTGTTTCCTGATCCTGGCTCCGCGGATTTGGTTTTGGTAGCTTGGACTCGTTGGGAAAACACGGATGGGAATGTGGTTTCAGCGATTTATTTAACGCAACACCTAGTTTTCTGGACTGTGGATGGATTGCTGATCGTGAGCGCAAGAAAAGGCGTGGGGTCGAAGGAACCCTCTGCTATTGTAAGGATACGTTCTTGATCGGATAGCTGCTTTAGTGAGCTCAAAGATGCGCTCTGTGAACCCTGCGGCGGCTGCACCTAATTCCTCTTTGGCGGTAGAGCCTTTTGGTCTACATACGAAGGTGACAGCCTTTGCAATACTTTCTAAGTTGGGCTACCACCGGTGTCGTGTTTCTATCGTTGCTCGTCGGTCAGCTTATCTACTTTTTATCGTACGGCTTACTCCACTTATGCGAAAGTTGATATATTTTGAGCCTTTGCTATCGAGGCACGGGGTGTAAATTATGGATGGCTTTGAAACGACGGGGTGTAATTCCTGGATGGCTTCAAAACGACGCAACCATTCTGTAAATGGAGTGAAAACTCTCCGGTAGTACCAGAGAAATAAGGTTTCCGGTAGCGATACCTTCGGCATACGAAGTAGAAACGAGAGATGCCATTATTTTCAACCCTACCACATTGAAAGAGTCATTGAGTCCTTGTAAGAGTGCAGTGATGAACACTTATCTTTTTAGCCAGTATCGGAGGTCTTGCTCCGTGGCATTACCTAGCTCCTTGGCTTCATTCCCCTTGATAGCAGCGTCATCTGCGATATCCGCTAGGTTGTACTATCTCTGAGGAAAACGAAACTTCTGAAAAGAAATTGGGTACCTGTCAAGAGTTGGAGACTGATCGGATGATGAGCATGTTGTGAGCATAAGTTCTGAGGGGACACGAAAGCTTATGCGAAGCCAATGGCACGATTCCGAGCCACATGTACATGCTGTTTGTTGGCCGACTTTTGACACGGCTATGTTCAGCAACGGGATTACTCATCGACAAAAAGATCAGGCTGGTGAGTCGTGGAAGGAAATTCTTTTGAAGAATGTAGCGTAAGGAGCAGGCATGAGAAAATACCAAGAAGATGGTATCGGTCTAGCCTGCTTCTCCGAGTTGGTGCAAATGGCAAATGCTCTCGATTAATGCAAACTTAAGAAAGTCAAGGACGCAATATTACACGTCAAAAACCCATGCTTGCAACGTCCAGTATCTGAACAAATGCGAAGGAGCGGCTGAGCAACGGCACACGGACAACTTCTTCTTATGGTATAGTGGGTCTGAGGAAAGCGAAAATGGATACAGTATTAGAAAACGAGCATTTCCAGAAAGTCCATGATGATTGACATTCAGACTGTAAAAACAAAAGTACAAGCAAAAGGAGCAGCGGGCCATCCGCCGTTCTTGGGGAGGGGGAGGGGGGTTCTCATCTCTTTGAACTTTGTAAGAGGGAAGAGTCCTTGTGCTCGAAGAACTAAGGAGATTTTGTTGCGCGAGAGAACGAACAAAGAGACTGTCTGAACTTGCCCATATGATGAACAAGGCCAAGATATCGCCGCGACGGCCGCGCATCCCTCTCTGTAATTTTATAATTCTCTTGTCCATTCCTCTTCAGTCTTTTTTGTACAGGCGGTAACGCTTGAACAGCTTTCCAAGAAGAAATTAGCATTTTTGGAGCGGTATGCGTTGCGAAGATGCCAGACGTAGTAGTGTTCATATGAGCCATTAACTATCATGTCCTTCTCCGAACCGCACACCTCCCTAGCTCACTACTACCTCTACTGCGTATGACGAGAGCTAATCGTATGCTCATCACTCACCTGAACTATCAGTTTGGCTAACAATCTTGGCCGTTCTTCAGGGTTTGAGGAACTGTCACTGAATTTCTATTGAAACTTTGGCGTCATTGCAAAAGCTAAATCAAGGAAATTTAGATAAATAGCCTTGTTCAACTAGGCAGCATTATTTCGTAGCGAAATGCTGCATGAGACTGGAAATCCCAGATCTGCCATCAAATTTTCGTGAATACATGCAACAAAAACCGAATGGAATTTGGACGTAAGCTGTAAAAATGGTACGCAAACATGGATTTGATATTTGCAATCCTTTACATTTCCATGATCAAATTTAAGCAATCTGGACTGCCCAAAAATCGACTTCGTCTCGCAAATGCCAGAAATTATCACATTATTGAATGAAATTCACAAATCACAGGTTACAAACTTCGCTGTGCCACAGAGCTAAAGCTTTCTGTACCTAATTAGTTGATTGAAACTTATTTGTGCACTTAACAGATGGAAGTGCTACGCGATTTGAACAGATTCATTAAGAGGCTAGGCTTATAGGGGCATGATTGCCATTATCAACTACGGAAATTTCTTGAGTTTTAATAAGTGGACTAGGAGTTTGAAACTGTTCGTCTACAGAAATTCTTGGCTTTCAGTTTTGCTTTCTCATTGCGCTAAGTCAAGCCTTATTGTTAGTTGTTTGTAAGTCATTGCGCGAAGCTGGTATCTTATCGATTGTAGTCGTTTGTTCTAAAGTTTGACATCTCATATTGCGCTAAATGTGTAGAGATTATGTCAAGTAATCTTACTCATGCTGAAATGATATATCTATTATAATCAGTATGTTTTCTTCTTTGTGTATGGTTACTTTGCGAAAGATTCTAAGGAATTTTTACTTAAGTTTGGAGCAAAAGTCGTGCATCCTATGTTGTTCTCCCTTTGAATGTCAGTCATAAACGGCCCTCATTGTGCGCCCACACAAGCAACCAATTTATAGATTGTTTATCGCGCGTTCTGATCTTGTCTTTTCAAAACTTTGTTGCCACGGTTTTCACGTCAGAATAGTGTTCATTCGCACTCTTTTATGGTTTTGTGAAAGTGCAGTGCTATCGATACCGCATGACTGTTAACCAATTTTGAACCGGATATCTCCAAGCTCATTCATCTACGGACAAGAGCAGTTTCTATTCGAAAAAAGTTCATAGTTAAGTAATAACAAATGCTTGGGTTCCGTTTTCAAAACATCCATTGAATTTTATGCCTCTGAATAGACTAGACAGGAGGTTAAAAATGGTTTGAAGGTTTTTGGTGTTAGATATGAGGTTGTAAAGGACTCAAAGCTTATTGCTGCATTTTATTTCATTCATTCCTTCATGTTCATGCGACAGTTGAACTCGATATGCAGCTCTTGCTCACTTCCTTCACTCTTTCTCTTCTGATAATCATACATTTTTTCTTCTGATACTTTAATGCACCATTCTTCTCCATATTTGTTAGATTTGTTTTACTTTAGAAAAATGGCACTTTTAAAAATACGTGAGTCTAGGATAAATACACATTCATTACCAGTTGATATGCTCTTAGCTAAGAGTTGCAGTTGAGCTGGATAGGCAGCGCTCCGAGGAAAATTGCAAAATTTTCTCCAAGGAAAAGTGCGAAACGCCCTCCAAGGAAATTTGCGAAATGCCTAACAGAAACGCAAACCAATTGCTAGCTCGAACTTTTTTGATTTTTTGCCGACTAAAGTTGTGAGTGGAGTAATCTCGGGTCTAGAGAATCAAATCTTTTTCTTTACGTAAAATCCAATCATGATCAATAACATATGCCATATTACTCTGCCATAATAGTATTAAAAGTGTCATATTCATTTTTAGCATCGATTTCCTTCCATCCTTCGTTGGGCTTGGCTTGATACTCCTTGATTCTACATGTGAGCATTTATGCATATTAAAGAAGTCCTTTTTTTCATCTTCAATTTTTAACTAGTGACTTTCGTCGCTAGGATGCTTTTTTGTGAGAATCCCATAACATCTTCCTTTATTTTGTGCAAAGTAGCCTTATTTAGAGAAGTAAGCTTATGTTTTTTTGATATGTGGGCACCATTGAAACACTTCTTCTTGGCAAATCTTTCGGATTCGAGAGCAATCTCCAATTTTTGCGTTTTTCATGTTAGCACTTTTGAGAAGACTCATGTTTGAAGGAGCACAACGGTCTACTACTTGTTAAGACAATAGCTGCACTAGTAGAAGATGGCGCACAAAGGACGACGACCGACGCAGAAGCAACAGCGAGAGCTGGACGCGAAAATGCATGAAACATTGCGCTCTTTGATGTTTCGTCAGTATGAGCGTGAAACTTCGGTTCGTAGGTGAGCAGCATTGACGTTGAGCTTGAGCTTTATACAATGTTTTTTAGGTCTGCACTCTTGGAAGCGCAACGCATTCTTGCGTGAGTTCTTATTTTTACAGAAGAAAAACAGTTCTTTTCTTCTTCTAATTCTGCAGAGGTAAAGGCGACCAGCTGGCGGTAGAACCTAAAAAGGAACCAACTTCTGATGATGATTTGGATCTCGAATGTGATCTCGAGCTTGAACAACCCGTGCAGATAGTGGAAGAACAACCAGCGCCATCGTCTTCGCGAGCGCCAGCGCCGCGTCCTAGAAAGCCTGAGAGTCGACCCAGAGCTAGGCGGACGGGCGAATTAGCTGAACCTGGACCAGCACCTGCTCGTGTGGTTAGTTTTGAGAACGTTTGGCTTCTGATAGGCGAAAAAGCGCCATATATGTAAAAGGGTGTAGGGCAGTGTCGCCAAGTTTTCTAGGGATGCTGGGTAGGTTACAGGAATTTCCTCCAAACGGAAGGACGTGATATTGGTCGAAAATTTTTTTTGAAGTTTCGAAAATTTTCGCCAAAATTGATTTCATTGTTCCTGCCTATAAATACCAAACTCAGTGGGTTGATACATAAGACTTTAAAGTTTTAAAAATTAACATATGAGATTACGGAGAAAGACAACTTGAGTTTTCTAATATCGCAGCGATATAAGATTAAGAGAGAACTTGTAGTTGCTAAAGCATCTGCTGTGATTCATTTTTGAAGTAAAATTAATTTTGGTGAAATTTTTAGCAACTTTGGGTCCGAAATGTTTTGCTTGGCTTTATGCGCTTTTCTACTCAACAACATTACTAATCGGACATCTTCGAGAATATTTGGTTTTGTTTTTCGAACTATTCTGTACAGTGATAGACACGATCAAAACCTTCAATATGTATGATAATTCGTGTGATGTGATTTATCATATGTTACAAAAATCATTTTTTTTGAACATTTCGAGGTGATTTTTTTTTAAATTTTTGATGCAAGATTTGTATGTCAATCTCATAATTTACAGACCCGATCTAGTGCTGTACATAATGAAGTTCCGAGACTGGAAGTCACAGCACAGGATGATGTTGAGCTGGAAGAGGTCAGCATGGTTGAGCCACAGGTGAGAGGATTTTCAGCAACAATGGTGAAAAAATGTATTTATAGGATGATGAAATTTCAGGACGTCTCTGATGAGCCATTGTTTGACAACCAACTGACTGCAGAGGAGAAATTAAGGGTACGTTTTATAAATGTGCACATTGCATATTTCGCATCTGATAATGTTTATTTAGCTTTCCGAAGGTGGAGTGGTGGCGGGTGCCTTGGATGTAAGTTTTATCACTGTTCTATCAGGTCGTTCCATAAGTTCGTAGCGTTTTTATAAACCAGCAAAATCATCAATTTACAGTAAAAATCACTCAAAATTATATTCCTGGTTGTAGCGCACAACCTTTCACATTCTTGTTAGCTTCTTAACCTTAATTTTTCGAACGGCAGCGCGCCGGGTCCCAAGAAAGTCATCTAACCAGCGCTCAAGTTGCTTACTGAAATCGGGACATGCACAATTCATGAGGTTTGCCAGAGAGCGGAGCAAATGATAATCTGGTAGAGCGAGGTTTGAAGAGTATTTTGGGTACTGAAGTACCTTCCACTCGAGTCGTGCAGGAGAGTTTTGACGACGTTTGCCGTATGAGGCCATGTTTCGTCATGCAGGGAAACTCACTGGATTTGTCTGTTAGGCTTTTTCTGCGGTAGGACCTGGTTTAAACCGTGCATTTGGATTGCTTATGACGTGGTTGACCGTCGCCTACTTGTCCAGCAATATTCAGTGCAGGACGTCCTGCCCGTCCCCCGAAAAGTCTTGTTCAGGGACATCCTTCCAGTTCCTGCTCTTTTGTACCAATCCAATTCTTTTTTGTCTTATATTGATGAACAAACGCCACGTTACATAAACGACACCAAAATCTGTGCAAAAACGCTTCTTTTCATAACGAAAAAGGCGTAAATGCCGAAATTGCTCCTTTTTGCCTTTCAAAATTTCCATCTTTGGAAGCTACGAGATCCGAGTAAATCAGCTTTCCACCGAAATCAGTAGATGTATTTCAAAAAGCACAATCAGCCCTTCCAAACGATATATGCATTCCGCCGCAAATCAACCGCTCCTCAAAGATATGAGTACGAAAATAAAAACGCGACAAATTTATGGAACGACCTAATACTTTCGATACTGAATCTTGAAAAAGAGGTTTGATTTGTCTGATGAGAGTAAGGGAGTCAAGGTCTTGCTAATGATCCGATTTTTACTTCACTAGAATCTTTCTATATCTTTTTTGGGAGTGTTCATCGCCTTATGTTAAACCCTCAGATACAGAATCAGCTCTCAAAAGTCAGAAAATTCATACAATATGGACCTGGCTTCTTTTTCTCATTATTTATCGCTTTCTGAGTTCACCTTTGCTGATATGATACTGGAAGTCGATGAAGTTGGATTTTTTTTTTGTTTTAAAACGAAAAGTTTGGTGAGCAGAGGTTGTCTATTACTTCTGGAGAGCCATAATTCAATACACAAAAAGAGACCCTATTTTCAATGTTACAGCCTTTTTATTTCTATCATCGTAATCCGCATACAGGTACACCAGGTACCGGGTAATCTTGATATCGTTTGAGACAAAAACAGAGGAGATATCGTTTGTGGCCGAATAGACACAAAAGTTGGTTTTTCAAAATCACATTTCGATTTTTTAGGGCTTTTACGTTTAGGGTTTAGGTTCAAAGGGGACTTCGTACGAAATTTTTGAGATCAATGGGGTTTCGTTTGAGGATTTCCCTGGTGCCAGCTCGTGCCAAGCCCATATTCTACATTCTCATTCAATTTGTTCAAAATCACAAGAATGTCTTTTACAAACGTCATTACAAGTATATCTCTTTGTGCAGTGTCATCACCAATGTTCCAGATTGATATCGATGTCGATACTGAAGTGACTCTCGACCAACTAAAGACGGTGCGTAACATTTTATTCATACGTTCATTCGTTAAAACCATATAGCTTCTTGGCAAACAATTGATACAGCTTATAGTTCTCAAGATCTCCTCATAATAATTCGTTACCGCTGAAAATTACACCGTGGATTAGACATCATGGTCAGAAAAATCGAATTCGTTACAGTTGTCACTAGAGGAAGTGTGCATCCGGATGGCTTATTGTGCGCACAACGCTCTCCAAGGCGGTGATACGAGGCACAGCGCTTCTTGGTATAAAGGTTTGATGAAAACATGCTTGGAAGCGGTAAACACGCACGGTGAGGATGTAAAAGTCACTTTTGCACTGTTCAGTCTCTGCTTTCAAGAATATCCTCGTCCACATCTGCCGTTCGAAGTAGAGCGCATATTTGACGATTACTGTCACAAAATTGCCGAACAGAAACGGGCGGAGGACGCTCGCAACGCAGTAAAGCTGGAAAGGGTGTGTCCTATTCGCCTACATAGACCAAATAATTGACTTCCTTACTAAGTTACGGAGAAAAAATACTCATAGACGAAACAATTACGCTTAGGGATGGTAAAACTCGCCTGAACTTTTTGTTCAATTTTTCCTAAATGCATTTTCTTGCAAAGAGTTATTGTCAGACAGCTGCTATAAATCATTTGCAGCTATTTGCGGCCGGCTTTAGATTCTCTCATGGTCAAATAACATCATTCCGATTATGTCCCAGAAATCTCTAAAAAGCATTAATTTTGTATCTGATAAGGGGAGGATATTTGGTCGAAGTGGTATTTCCATATGAGATGTATACCATCTTACAGAGCATGGAACGCTAATTCCAAATTCGCATTTGCTATCTGCAAAGCGCTTCTGGGAGGAGAGTTTTGGAAATTTTTTGTGGTAAAAATTCAAAGATTTGGCGAGGTAAAAGTAGGTGTTGAGGTCTTTCCGGCGCTCAAAGGGAGTAATGACTGACAAGTGTTCATTACATTGAAGGTCTTCATTCCATAAAACGCTTTGGTAATAATCTGGCCCCATTTGGGCTCACGGGCTAAAGTTCTGATTGATTTTATTGTAGTGGCGCTTCCCTATTTCCCGTAACTCCTTTTTCGGAAGCGCTTTGCAGACACCGAAAGCGGTTTTAAGGTCAGCATTCCATGCTCTATAAGAAAGTATACATTTTGTATGGAGGCGCACCACTTCGACCAAGTATGAATCCCTTGTGAGTTGAATCCAGAAAACGCGTAGAACAACAGCGATATTCTGTGTTCTACAAATTCATTCTCCTATCCCATTATATCGATCATGTTTTACATAAGCACTACCCTCCTCATCCTTCCTAAAAGGCTTTAGAGAAGTTGACAAGTTTGCAAAAGCAAGGATTCAAACTCTTTTCCCATGTTGAATTTTTTTCCACTTGACTCCTTCCTACATATTCAGACCCAAAAGCTCTATCATATTTTACCTCAAAATCTCAGCTTGCATATATTTACTTTCTGAAAATAAAAACATCAAACTGAACATCAAATTGTTTAGCGCAGCATAGGCTGTACCACAACGCTGTTCGAGTGCGTCTACCCCGTTTCAACTGAGTCTATGACAAGCAACAAAGTGCTGCTGACCGGCGTCACCGGAGATGCAGCGGCCTTTTTCAAACTGTATCTACAGAATGTACATATTAGGCAAGGGAAACAATGTTATCATGTATGTTTCGTTGAGCAACCTTGACTGAGTCTACTATCGATTTTCGTTTTGTTTTCAGGACTGCATTTGCTATTCGGTTTCTTACCGACAACCAAATGTTCTGCACTTCGCTGCCGCCTATGGAAATGCGGAGGTAAGGTTTGCTTATCGTTAGAGAATTAGGTAAATTAGCAGGGAATGTCAGTCATGTAGTTTCTTTGAAGATTGGCTTGAATCGTTTAGCGAAATGGTTTTTGTTCTAGTTCCCTTATTTGAACGCGTTTCGTCTCCTCAGTGAAGACATCGTATTTGAGAAATGCCTTTTACCAAAGTCAACCCTTAAATATTCTTCTGAACAACACATTCGTTAGTGCAGTGAAATTCACTTATCTTACATTAATCGGTCATTATCTATGGGGCAATGATTTTTCTGATTTTTTTTGCGATGATGGGAAACTGCTCGAAATGGCTTCACTCATGGTTTCGTATAACAAAGGTTCCAGGGTGATTTTCGACACACAAATAGACTATGTGGATAGCACACAATTTCGGCTGAGGTTTGGATGTAACTGTTAGAATGGGGTCGATTTTTGTCACATATCAATCTTCGTTGACATTTCAACTAGATAACCTTTTTTTTGAAATTAAAAACTTTTTGTAAGCTTTGATATACACCACGCACATAAAAAGATAAAGCAACACTCTTGCAATTCTCCGCTTTTATAGTTTTTCTACATTTTTCCACACCTTGTTTTCGAGATACTAGAGGCATTAAAGTGGCACCATAAGAGAGGTAGGGCTGAATTTTCTAAATATGCAAGAGAAAAAGTACATGATTTAGCAAAGAGTAATTCTAAAGAAAGAGAAGGAAATTTAAGTATATTTACAAGAATGTCGTAAACTTGGTGGCTATGGGTGCATATGCGGCAGTGGTCATGCGTACCCTTGAGTAGGAAGAAAATTTGAGGTTACAGGAAGCTTCTGAATTTTTTACGATCGTCAACCAATTGTCGTTGTCAGAAAGATTGTCAGTTTGTAAAATTTTTTATAATTACTCATTACAGGGTGCGGCAAAAGTTTGGGAGCCTAACTTTGCAGTACTGCAATTACAAAGATACTGATGGTTTTGATTTAAATTTTATGCCACATGATGCTGCGGTCATCCTCTACAGAATACACTTTATTTGGTTGGAAATGGCTGCCATATATTTTTGTAAGAATGGAAATTACCAAACTAGTACTTTTGCAAAGCGAAAAAACCAGAGTTTTTAGTATTTACAATTTTTGCTGCAGCTAGAGATGCTGCTAATATTTTACAAAACTTCGATGCACACAACATAGAAGAGGCTTTGCGCTATTTGTATCCTAGTTTTGCTTTTACCAGGAGCTGTTCTTGCATGAACGGAAAATAAAAGTTTGCGAATGTTACCTACGTGCCAGTGGAAATTTGTCTTCAGAACAAATTCAAAAGCTATAGAATGCTCAACAGGCACTGGGGCCAAGGCTGGATTTTCTGCATACGTCTTTTAAATTAAAATATATTGAAATTTGGCCATGGGAACACTTTTTATACTTTTTAAACGATAGTTTTAAGTTTTCATTCGCGCAATTGTAGCCAAAATCCCGGTATGCGGCGTACACATGCTTCTAATTGAAAATCCAATATTTTTATTCCTTAGCAATGCAAAAAATTCTTTTGAAAGTATATTGTAGATAAAAGCTTGCTCTAGCGTGCTGCACATTTGCCAAGGTAAAAGAAGCAGTTATTGTGAAGGCGTGGGGTGAATTTCATCACGACTACCTGCGTGCCATGACAGGTGGACTTGCCAAAATTTTTTAGGGCTGCGTGAAAGCCAAAAGAAGCAGTCTTGCAATTCAAGAACTGGGATGTATCTGCAATGGTTCGAATTATGTGTGCGCCAAATTTTTGGTTTCTAGGTATTTCCCTTCTCGTTTTGTAGGAAAAAGTACTGGGCTCCCAGACTTTTGCCGCACCCTGTATAAGTGAAAATACCAGAGCTTTCCAGCTCACACTCATTTGTCTATCTTAAGGTTACTTACGACGATAAACTATAGCTCAGATGTTTAGTTCATCAAAAAGGTTATGTTTCCCGAGGATGCGCTGCCACATGACCAAGCCATTCGCGAGCATTACAAGGTGAGTCTCTCTGGTCTAGGCCTCATGATCTATGCTTACAGTTCCAATTTTAGACAATGATCGAAGGGTGGCTGCTTGGAGCGATCGAGCAAGGTGGCACGAAGATGTACCCATTCGATGTGGCAGTATTTTATAGTAAGTTCCATGTACAATTCGGTCTCTATCATGCCAAACTTTGTTGCACTTTCTTCAGATTATAAGGACTGCGCTCGCGAATTTCTTGGCTCCAAGGACTTTGCGAAGGCGTTGCAAGATCGAAAGACTGAGATGACCATGCCGAGGTCATCACTAAATTACAATGAATATATAGTAAGTACTGGTTGGTTTTGTATCACAGTGGCCTTGAGTTATGCTTTTCGGTAGGTTATAATCTAGGGCGGTTTTCTAAGGAATGTGATGTTTGCGACCAAATTGAGATTACGGATTTTTTTTCATCTTCAGTCCATTTGGTACAAGTCGCATTTTGAATGAGAGATTGAAACGGACATACATATGCTTTGGAATAAATTCTGTCAAAACCATGAACTCTATAAAACTCCACCGTCAAAAATATTATTGGAAAAATGAATCACGTCAGCTTAATTTGCCCAAAAGTATTCTTTTGAGGAGTCACCGCTCTCGATGGCGGTTTACCACGGAAACTCGGAGATGATAAAAATGCTCCACAACTGGCAGCTCATCCAACCGCAACACTTCCCGCAGGCATTTCGCGAAGCCGCAAATGCAGGTCTGCGTCTTTTCGGTTGAAATAAAAAGCTGTGAAAACAAAGATTCAATTTTAGGAGATGTTCAAATGCTTACCGAACTGTATGAAATGTGTCGAAGGAATGTTACTTACATAGTCGAACAGGATAAAGAACGTCCCATGCAGACCCCGTTACATGTAGCTGCGGCAGCTGGACATCTTCGGGCTGTGAGTTCGGGAAATTCGGGTTAACCTAAAGAATCCAATGGTTTTTAGGTGCAATACATATGCACTTGGGGAGAATTTGTGCGAACGAAGCCAGATGCAGTGGGAGACCTGCCGTTGACGTATGCTATCGAAAACGGCCATATGGTGAGTATATCCTCAATGGGAAAGAGATTTACAGGAAGCAGAAATAGTCTAAGAACCAATGTTTGATGCGATGCGCTTAGGCAGTCAGAGTTGCCGCGTATCAGCGTCGTTCCAGCTTCGTGCCAAATTCCAGGGGCACCCAATCGATCAGGCACGGCACTAGAACGGTGCTGTTAGATGTGCAGGACAATACTGGGCTCTGCCACAGTTTTGCTCAGTCACCAGAAATATTAGGTTGTTACATAAGTCTTGTTACACTTAACTTCTAACGGCGATAAGTCATGTACCTCATAATCTTTGCAGGACTCCAGGGTACCATTCGATAGAGCAAAGCAAGCTCTACAAGATGGTTTGCACAGTTTCACACCAACATCGACCCACGTTAACTTTGAATCCGAAATCTGAGTCGTAGTGAAGGCTAAAAAATTGCGAAAAATTCATATCTTTGTTCAGAAAAACCCTACAAATTTCCGACTTGCTCATAAAAATTGCGCACTATATCAGACACTCATATGTACCGCTGCTGTATTTTTTCCTCATATGGAAATCGAGAAAACGAAAATTTTCTTGTTTTTACAAAAACGAAGCTATGCTGTTCCTTTTTATGTAGCTGTATACTACAAGCCCTTAGAAGTACAACCGTAAATTTTCAGCTTTCCGGAAGTTCTTTTTCGAAAATCACCTAATTTAGTATTGAACACCCGAGTGAAAAAAGCTAAATTCGATATTTTTCGAAAACTAGGGCTTCCGGAAAGCTGAAAATTTACGGTTATACTTCTAAGGGCTTGTAGTATACAGCTACATAAAAAGGAACAGCATAGCTTCGTTTTTGTAAAAACAAGAAAATTTTCGTTTTCTCGATTTCCATATGAGGAAAAAATACAGCAGCGGTACATATGAGTGTCTGATATAGTGTGCAATTTTTATGAGCAAGTCGGAAATTTGTAGGGTTTTTCTGAACAAAGATATGAATTTTTCGCAATTTTTTAGCCTTCACTACGACTCAGATTTCGGATTCAAAGTTAACGTGGGTCGATGTTGGTGTGAAACTGCGCAGGCCATCTTGTAGAGCTTGCTTTGCTCTATCGAATGGTACCCTGTAATCCTGCAAAGATTGTGGGGTACATGACTTATCGCCGTTAGAAGTTAAGTGTAACAAGACTTATGTAACAACCTAATATTATGTTGGAATAGCTACCAAACACACCAATCCAATTACCCTCCTTTTCAGAAAGTCCGCACAGTTATCACTTCTCCCCTTAGCAGTGGCGTACTCAGGTGGGGGAGGAATTTTTGAAAATCACTCATATAAATTGTGAAAATGTGTGCAAGTGACTTGTTCATACTTGAAAATATTTGAAATATTAGGTCGTCCCGAAAGTTCTTGCGCACGATTTTCAAAAATTCATAACTCTTTAAATTCTTAACGGATTTGTACGATCAAAATTTTGTATAAGAGAGGAACTCATGCTCTTCGCATATGTACCTGATTTGTTCGATAATACTCACAGATGACGGAGATGGAAGCTCAAGACCAAAATCGCTCAAAATTTGAATTTTTCGTGTAGGGTCATAAATAATCGGAAACTTGCAACAAAAATCAGAGCAGTCAGTATTGTAAGTTCTTTCACCAGCTCTTTCTAACAGTGCAAAGTTTGCGCCGATTGAGCGTCTCTATGAAAAGTTATGATTTTGGAGCAAGCAATACAAAAGGGCGAATTTGATTTATTTTGGCATTTTTCAGGGAATTCATAACTTTTCACAGAGACGCTCAATCGGCGCAAACTTTGCACTGTTAGAAAGAGCTGGTGAAAGAACCTATAATACTGGCTGCTCGGATTTTTGTGGCAAGTTTACGATTTTTTATGACCCTACACGAAAAATTCAAATTTTGAGTGATTTTGGTTTTGAGTTTCTATCTCCTTCATTTGTAAACATTAACGAAATGTTCAAGCACATATGCAAAGAGCATGAGTTCCTCTCTTATACAAAATTTTGATCGTACAAATCCGTTGAAAATTTAAAGAGTTATGAATTTTTGAAAATCGTGCGCAAGAACTTTCGGGACGACCTAATATTTCTAAAATTCTTGAGAAATTCAGTTTAGCCTTACAAAAAAGTTCTTTGGGGCATGGCTGGTGCTGCCCCCCTTTTCAGAAATTTTGCAATGGGCCCGTGTAAATTTTGGCAAGCATTCTTAAAAAATTTGATTTTTTGTAATGCTTGCCAATTGCCTTTCCGTTTTCGGAAGGCTGGCTAACGCTGCGCACCTTCAGGAGAGTTTTTTGTTCCCCCTCCCCTCCCCGCGAAACGGAAAATCCTTGTACGCCACTGCTCCTTAGTATTCTCTGCTGTCCAGGTACCGTGGTAGGAGGTAGCGTTTAGTAGGAAAGACAAAATTTCTTATTGAAAGAGTCGAAGAGTGTTTACGTGCAGTAACCTAAATGCTGAAGACGAGTTATAAAAAAGACAAAGTTTCGGCGCTTTATCTCCAGGCCCTCTCGCAATACATACTGTATACATTCATACATATATTTTTTCTTACCTTAGAAGCAGTTGCCGGAGGCTCTATTATCTCTGTATCGTATACGCAGGCATGCTTTCGAGGAAGCTGATCAAATTTAAAAATTGAATATTTGGTCACTTATAGTTGAAATTGTTGTTATAATCAAACACCTGAAAGGCAGTATTTAGGCATATCTGAGTGGTAGGATTAGGGACTTTATGGGCTCTAGAAAAATCACGCGACAGCTTATATGATATATTCATGCCGAGTTGAGTTGTCGGTCGCAAATAATAGTCCAGTTCGGGGCCTTCTACAAAGTCCATCAGATTATCTGTGGTCGAAAAGTTGTCTACTTTGGATTTCTGCGCTGTTTTTTGTTGTACAGTGCTGAACGAACTGATCACACATGTTATGTATTTTATATGTTTTTTCAATGTTAATCCAGCAATGTTTACAGGCGATTGCGGATTGGCTAATGCATACGTATCCTAACGAAATCAATCCGACGGTAATCAGATCAGCGGTTGCTTGTAAAAGAAAGTTCGTTGTTTTCTTATTTTTGAATTATGCATAGCTGAATAATTTCAAATGTGAAGCCTTTTTGCCTTTCTTTATGAGGATGACTGAAAGATGCAACTGAGCGGAAGAATTTTCACGCTCATATATGTTAGCGAAATTACTCAAAATCATTGAACAGCTGAAGGAGACCCTACAGTTCTTTACAATTTTTGAAATGTGAATCGTTACAGCAGACTGGCGAAGCAGATCTTCGATAAATTGCTGCACTTTGACGAGATCATTGACAAAATCAAACCTCTCAACTTTGCTGTGGAAGTGGAAAATTTCCATTGTGCTGAATACTTCTTGAAGCAGTACATGATTGCAAAGAAGGTTCGCCTTATTTTGGAACTGTTTTGTTATAAGAAAAAAATTATTTAGGTGAACACTGCGCCATGGTCCGAAGACGTCGCACAAGCGTTGCATAATGTTTTGCAATGTCGTAGTCTCCCAGCAGATAAGAAAACCAAATTTGTTATTGCATTTCAATTAGCTGGAGTGAAGGTGAGTTTTTGTCACATTTTACCTGTAAATCTTTTTGATTATTCAGTTTCTTGTTTCACCTATAAAGTATACAAGACTCATTGGGAATAATTTTCCTGCTATACCGATCGAAAATATAATTTGTAGTAATCTGAAATTTAATTATAGTAATCTCAAACTGCTGCACTTCTTGAATTTTTATTTGGGAGCCGACTGAACGTGCAAATTAGATAACTGTGATTGTACGAATTAATCTTTAGAACTGAGTACCTGTTTTGGGACATGAGGGTTGGCACTAGAAATTAAGTGGTAAATACACTTATAGGCTCATTCAAACTTTCATCCACTCTTTTTCGTGAATTTTCATTGTTAACAGAAACGCTAGTGAATTTGTTGATCTCGATTTGATACCCTCGAATGAAGATCTTGTCACGTCCAAAAAGAACTTTTTGTTAGGTCTTCGTTACTGCTCTCGACGCTAATTTTTCAAACCTCGTTTTTAGATTTCAATGGTGAATATCATCAAAATTGTCAAGGACAAATCGGTGGCAGCTCTTATCTGTAACAGCCTCAGGAACAGTTTCAATCAACCAAAAGTCTTATAACGTCGAAATGATTCATTCTCTGATTACGTTTGTGCATAATCTTTATATGTATGGGTAATAATCTGCCTAAATTTCCCCTATCACTGCCTCTACGTTGAAGATTGTGAATGAATCTGTTGCCTTTGCTTTCCCCTACTGATGACATCTCTTGATATCCCTTGCTTGGCAATATGCTCGTTTATTTGACTACGGTAGTTGTGAGGAAGGAAACGGGGGAAACACGGCAATCAGCCGTCGATTCAACCGCGATGCCTGCGCAGGGTGTTGATTGTCGCTCTTCAAGACGGACGAACCTAGCATCCATCTTCTTTAGCTAGGTATACGGTAGCTGAGGGAGAAAGTTGTTATCGAGAAGTTAGATGTGCACTCCGAGTTTTTGATCTTGGAAAGTGGATTCCGTGCATGGTAAAGAAAATTTTTCATCATTTGTTTTTACTTCGGTGTTTACCTCTTCACTATGTTTGTGTCAAAGTAATGAAGTGTTGGAAATGCGCAACGCTCAGACTGGAATGGAGTACTGTACGCATACTGTACATATCGTAAAATGTATATGCAAAAAAGTCTTTTCCTTTCCCAGAAAAGTCCTTCTCCTTTTTGACATATCTGGAAGAGTTACAATCGAGCATTGATAAGGCTGGAATGGAACACAAGATCGTGAAAAATGCGTAAACCTGGACCTCTTCTTTTCGAGAAAAATTTTTCCCTCTTTTTTTTTTTGACTGGAATATTAGATTTATTAAGGAGGTCCTCTCAGGGCCCGACATGAGTGCGTTTCTGGCTTTTCGAGAACCAAATCCCCCTGACTTTCGCAAAATTTTACGAAGTCCCCTTTGACCCTTTCCGGAAACGTCGACTAAAATTATCTAGGCTAAATTGTTTTTTTATCGGACCCCCTAAAACGATATCTACTCTGCTTTTCTCCCCGGGAACGAAGCCCATCTTCCAAGCGATCTGTGCCGGTCCCTGAGTTCCCCTCTACGTCGACTTTGTACAACATACATGACCTTTCGCTCACTGTAAGGTTACTGTGAAGCCGCAATCTGTGGCAACTAAGATTTTTCTCCCAACTATCCCGAGGAAATCCCTCAAATTACGATGTTGCTTCGGAATGCCCTAACATGACCTTGTGATTTGCCGTCGGGCGACGTTCCTGTGTCGGCTCATCACGCCATCCTTGCGTCCGTCCCGGGAGGAAAACCTCCTAATCAACTATTCGTGTCGAGCTGGCGGTTCGTTAGCAATGCGGTAACGACGACATTGAGCGGCTTCCGCAAACTCGCCGCATACTTCCGTCACCGCGCACGCGACATCCGGACATACCGCACGCGACACCTTCCGGTATCCCAATGGAAGAACGACGACGGCGGTGGATACGGTAATCGACTTCAGGACTACGTGGCTGCTATTTGTTCAAAGCGGATGCGAATTCGAAGAGTGGAAAAGAAATGGCTTCTCTCTCAGCTAAATCAACTATCGTCTGCTCTTGTCACATTGGATGACTGCAGACAATGAAAAACTTCCCACAGTTGAACGAACTTACCTTTGCAGAGGAAATGAAAGTTTGATCTGGTCAAACTAAAGATTTTCCGAGTAATGCGAACTATCTTTGAATGTGGCATAGGTACCCATGAGGAAGCAATTTACATCAAAATTAGTCTTTGAGAAAATGCGCAGTAGTAGTGGAAGATTGTCATACCGCTAAACGGAATAAACACGAATTTCCTAGTTGATTTTTTTCCTGATCCTTTTTTTCCGGCTCCAAGTAGAATAGAGATACCGAGTTTTGCCTATGAATTGAGCATACCCTTTATCACATACAAATTCTTACATCCTTCCACATCTCAGTTGCATTGTATCCCATTTTTGATTTGATTCATGTTTGCACAAATAATAATGAAGGGTGACTCGAGACTGTGGCCGTTTCGAGTGAATCGTGATCGAAGTGTAAGACGCTGATCGTGAAAATTCCCTCGCTATTTGCTGAAAAGTTTTCTGAAATAACTTATGATTTGTCCCAGAAAATTACTATTGCTTCGAAATTGATTATCGACATCAATAAACCCACCTAATGAATCTTCCATGATACAAAATATCCAATCAATATTCCAATATCCATAGCACAATATCCATAACTAAAACCAAAATCGCTTCGAGTTATAAAGCGATTTGAGGATTTGATAAGCATCTAAAATCCGATAGTGCCTCCCTGTCTTTGGTTTTTTATTTCGTGCAAGAAAATGCTCTTGACTCTTCGTGCCTCCATTCAGCAAGCGGTGGAAAGTCATTGTTTTCCTAGACATAGCAAGACCAAATCAGACGCGAGAAGCGAAAGGTTGCTTTTTATTGCGTGGCTGAGTAGTTCACTTTCGGTAATGTAGGACTATGTTTGATTACGGTGTTGTCAAATCCGCACATTACACTTATGACTATAATGTCCAATATGGATTGACAGGAGGGAAATTGTGCTTATCGTAGTCAGTCTCAGAGAACAGTCACAACAGAAAGTTCAACGTTTTTATCCCTAAGCAATTACGAAGCAATCACTCAAAAACTGCATGACATCATCTTCCCATCGGTTCGCACAAAGCTGATAAACTATGGTTCTCTTGATACTTTCATACTGTAATCCTGGTACTCCCGGCGCTTTGAAAGCAATGCAAGTCTGCAACATCGCATTTTTTGCAAATTCATCACCGAGCCGTCCGGCATATTCACTTCGCCAATTCTTCTCCACCTAGCCCCTAGAGAGGTTATGTCGACTACGGTGTGTCGGTGAGGCGGGTATTGTTTTGCGGGTGGATGGAAGAGTGGCAGGAGCAATCCCTGCGGGACTACCCTTCGTATCAATCAGACTCAAGCCCACGGAAAGGTTGGAATTCATCAAAGACACCCTAGCACATATCCGCTCCAGCTTGCCCCTTCGTCAGGCAGGCACATCACCCGAGTCTCTTACGGCTTTCATACCCCAACAACTCTCTGGTCGGAGGAACTCGTGCAAGTGACAGGCTTTATGACAACCGAGAGCTTAGAGATAGCTATGTGTAGAAAATGCAAGGAATTGATATTACAAATAAAAAAGCATAGGGTACTGCATACCTCGTGCGAGTACCACTGTGCAAAGTTTAATTTTGCAAAGAAATTTTCAACTAGTGCCTTCACCGTGACAATTAGTTCGCAGCTAGAGCTGCTTCCAATATTGTAATGTACAAATCTACCAAAATTGTTACAGCCGGACCCGATACCTTGAAAGAACTGTTGTTCAGAGAATTTCTTTGATCACATTCTGCTCACGCATCTTGGAACATATAGTATCTGGAAATCTATCCTCATTTCACTATATCCATTTGTAATTTCTTGTACGGAGACACAACAATCCAGACCCTGTATTGGGTTGGTTGGAAATAATCTTTCATGTTTGTGCATTAGAATTCATGTAGTGAACCCTACTCCTCAGAGCTAAGATTGAAAAATCATACTACTTCGCCATTTCGTCACAAAAAATAATTTTTAAAACTCCTCCATAGATTACTTTTCCCAATGACAACAAATATTCTTACAAGAATATGTTTGTACCATTCTCGCAGATCTTCGAGGGTGGCCAAAAGTTATTTATCCAGTCTGGTAAGTGACAGAGAGAGGAATAAATGAAGTAAATATCGACAACATGAGGTGCACTGAGTTTTCCAGAAAATTTTCGGAGTTGCTTGGGCTGCGAAATAATATTATTCTGGAACTACCGTAATCCGAATACCGTTAATGCGGCCACCACTTCCGTGCCTAGACTCAATATTTCATGAACTCCCCTTTTCCTAGTCCAACGTAATAAATTATAATGCCAAGTCCTCAGAACTCTTCTAACTTCGCTTTTCTCACAAGGCATACTTTTTTTCGTGAAAATTCGTCGAGAATTTTTCCCCAGCGATGCATATAGGCCGGCGGCGCTCACCTCCGCCTCCTTGAGCAGCCGGTCTTCAAAGGCCCCTGCCGCAAGTCCCCCGAGCATGCTAAGTTGCATGCTAATTGCCGCATCGTTATTAGCGTCAGATGCGCTGGCAGCAGATTTATTGCTGTTTGCCAGGCAAGAGTAGAGCACCTTGGGGAGCCATTCTTCCGTGTAGTCTCCTCTCCACCGCGCTACGGTAGCCACAACGAGCTCCAAATGTCTATGTTGAATGAGTGCAACCTTCTTTGAGCAGTCAGGTGCCTGCTTTTGTTGAGTTTCTGCGATTGTTCAGTGATTCGCAAAGAAAAAGTTTTCGGGAAGCCCTACTGGGTTTGAGATGCCTAATGCAAAGAAAGATCCCAAATTATTTAATCACAAAGATGGTACAGTTAGTTTAAAAAGAAGCTGCCTCAGCTCGAGAATGCTTTGAAACTAGTCCGAAAATCGTTTGTTCAGTTAACATAATCCAGGTTTTTTTGAGAGCAAATTTCTAAAGAAATGGGCAATTTAAATTATAATGAACTTCTTAGCCTAAAAATTCAGAAATTTCTAGCAGGAAGTTCGTAACAATTTTGAGCTCAATAAGCTAGTGGAAAGTTCACGTAGGTCAAAACTGGTTCCGAGGCTCTCATGCGGTCACAAGTTGGTCAATTGAAGTTGGATATCCTCGAATAAACAGATTATACCGCTTTTGTCCTGTTACTAAAAAAAATTTTTCTTAATGTTAGGTGGTGCGCACAGAGCTTGACATTTTCTGATGATTCCTTCCATTCCGCGTTTATTATAACTGATTAAATAAACAGATAAAAATATTCAGTTAATCTGTCTTTTTTGGACTTCTTTTATATTAGCCTGACATCACGCTGGACATTGTCCTAGAAATCTATTTCTCGCCAGGTGGACGACCGTAATCCCAGTCGCATATCACTCCAGCAAGCTTTTCCCCTCCTTTTCCTTACCCTCAGAACGTCGTCAGTCACTGTTCACTAACGAAGAAGCGCGAGAGCTGATTCGCATACTTGTCACCACTGAGTTCGTCCCCAGAGATATGGAGAGATTGCCATGGAATGTAGACTGGCAGAGATGGAGGGCTTGAATTCGTAAGGTCACAACATATCAAATCTTCGAGGATGTCTCAATCTATTTTCGGTGACATGGTGCGATTCCATTACTCAATTTAGTAGAGTCTCACACGTGTTCAGCTGCTTTTGAGTTCATAGGATGAAGTAAGAAAGTGAGAATGGCGTCACTACTCACTCCTACCAACACGTTTAATTGCAGTTTAAGAGATAAATCCAACAAAAGGCTGGATAACAGCTGCAAGGAAAACGCAATAGACAAGAGAATATTGCAAGAAGTTTCCTATGGCATGAAATGATCCAAATGAAATTCTGCAAATGACTATCTTGATGGTGATCGAATGCGCCCTATTGCTTTAGTACACTAGTAAGTACCACTCTAGACTCAACTATCTGCTCCCTGAATTTGGACCTGCCATTGAAAGAACAAGTAAAAAGTTCTTAAGCATGCTAAACGTTAAGAATCCCAGGAACGAATTGCTGCGTAACATGACGATCAAAATTCCTATTGCATAGGGCTAGTGATTTTATATAGGTACAAGGCCCATATTCCAAGATTGAAATTCCACATGATAGGAAACAGAAACACATCTGAGCTAGTTTTATCACAAGAAGATATTCAATCGTCCAGAACTGCTAAGGGAAAGAAATCGTACAGACAGAATGAAATGCGGTTTACTGCATGCATGTTATGATATTTATAAGGTATATTCGATATGGCTTTGTGTTCATGCTTACAAAAGGCTTCAAAGCTATTACATGAAAAATGTAAGTTGTTTATTAAAAACAAAACTAAAAGAATACCCATGCATCAGTGAGAAAAAAAATGTGAGTTGGGCTTTTGTAGAGCTGATCTGAAAGAATTTGAAGTCTTCATGAACATTGACATTCCTTAATAGTATTTGGTTGTGTTCGTCACAAGCTCTGATTACACTGGTAGTTCAAAGGTTTTCGAGGTCGAATTTCTAAGCAAACGTTTTTTTTTCTAATTGGAAAATTGACAGAATTATTGTACTTGTATAAAAAAAAAGTCATCTGTGAGCTTGTAGCGTTTGCTTCCTATAGCAAAAATTAAGATGCCTGTAACAAAGATGGGTTCCGCCAATGAGCTGAGAAAGGATTTGCATTCCTCCACCCCTAAACCAACCTTACTTCTGCCGCAGGTAAACGGATACCTAAACCTTTGCTATCCGGTAATCTTGAATTGCTTGCGCAATAAGCGCTTGTCAGTACATCTGCTCTGCATGTCCTATGAAGAGGAGCCTCGACTTGAAACCGTACACCCCGGTGTACGCGATTAACTGTAGTGTTATCCAATCTGTTTCCTGCGCTAATCCACTCACAGTATCTAGCCAAGGTGCGGAGGTCAATTGCTCGCACGCCAGCTGGCCAGTCCTCCACTCGTGCCCACAAGTACCGTACACCTTCGAGTGTACCTGTCCGTAATTGGAGTGCTTTTACCACATATCTATACAGGTCAAGAATGGGATTAGGGCACTTGGCTAATTGGTTGGATTTGAAAGAGACAATAAAATGATTTCAAAAATCAGTGTATTTTCATTTACGCGTTGAGAATTCTTACTCCCAACATATAAGTCTTTTAGAAAGCAGAATGGAAAACTAAACACTCAAAATAACAAATTTAGTCGATGAGCCTAAAACATTTTAACATTCATTATTGTTACTAAGCTGTACTCCATCAAATGCGGTGGTTATTTAAGGGGTAAAATTGCTTTTGAGGCTGGAATTCTAACTCATTCTCCAGGCATAATGGGAAAAAAGAATTTTATCCAAACATTCATATCACATACCAAATCATTTTCATTTACTTATCTATTTGATATGTTGAAAATATAAACAAGGTGAAGTCAAATTACATTATCACTACAGATTTAAGGGAAGAAAACAAGCCACATCTGAATTCTCATATATCAAACATGTCCTATTTGAATAAATCTTATTTATTTTTACACACTGAAAGAAAATATTCTTAGCCTTCTGCGCGGTGCCTGAGGTACGCTTCGAAAGAAAATAATTCCAATCAAATATTCTTCTCTCTCTAAGTGTGTGGCTGCAATTTCAAGAATTTCTGCATGGTGCCTATATAAGCAGCCCAGGTTCGATTTTTTTTTTCAAAAAATTCCTCCCTCTAGACACAATGAGTAAGTAGTTTGGCCAAATATAAGTCTTTTTAATTCTACAATCTTCTTTTTTTCATCACTACCATTGAATGAGATAATCGATTTACCCAGATCTTCTTGAAGTCACCGAAGAGACCAGAGGGTCCCGTGTCAAGCGTCCGTGGTCGCATCAGTGCTCGGCTCTAGGTTTCGAACACGGCGCACATTTATTAGAACATAAATATGCAAACGAGATGTCTTTTGTGCGCATCTGCTCCTTCCGCCCCTCCTGCGACGCTGATGTGTCTTAGCCACACGAAAGGTGCATATCTAATGAGAACAATGTCGAAAAGCCCGTTCGAAGACGAACATGCATATGCTTTGAATTAAATTTGAGCATTTTGAGACAGGAGTCGTTGCTCCGAGAGTTGAGATGCGCGTTGTTTTTATGAGAAAATGCTTAGCATCGGTTTCCTGGCTACCGATTCGATTTGGGCTTTTCGAGTGAGCATTTTTCGCCATGTCCGATTACAATGTGGTTTGTACCATCAACAAATCTGAACCGCCTTTTGAGGTAGGCGTTAGTAAATTAGCAATTGTAAGTTCAAACTAGTGATCCTTCAAATAATTTGTAACACTATGAAAAGTTTCTTATATTTTTTTCAATCGTTCAATTTTCGTCTTGAATTTCTCAGTTCAGAAACAGCGCAATAAAGAAAACTAAAAATGTGAAAAGGAAATGACAAAGCTCAAAACCTCGGAATTTCTCGAAGTTTCTTTTTTCCAGCCAAACATCTATCTCTGTAAGGAAAACAGCACCTGCTGTTTCACTCGTGGAAATCCGACATGCTGCCTTCGGGAAGTTTCCATCAAACATGTGTAAGTTTAGTCCGGATACCTAATGCTTATTGTTAGGGCGGGGAAGGGCGGGGGGGGGGGGGGGTTGGAGAGACATACAAGCATTAAGGCTAGAAAAAATAGCGAAGAAAGTGGCTTTCAATGGGGGAAAATGTCTAGTTCCCAACATTCACCTTTCTGTGAATGGTGATGCCTTTGAATCGAGAAAAAATTGTGGCTTTTCAATCGATTCTATCAAGCCCAGAATTTGTATTTAGAATAATATTTGAAGACTCTGCCCCCTATTCCACCTCTCATGTTTCTCCCCTCAAAAATTGCCTGCATTTTCCTCTCCCCTAGGTCAATATATTGACTTTTTCATTTACCACGCGGTGTCTGATTTCCATCGTTCCTTATGGCGCGACGGTGTTGATTACGGTATTTATCCGGTAGATTAGGCAATAAGACACGGCAGATTGGATAATTGCGACGCGCCATGAACTAAATGACCTATAGCTAGAGATCTTTCGTTCTCTCTTGCTCTCGCTCTCGTTTGCGATGACGGGAGATCTCGGCTGAGATACAGAATTAGCATATTGTGTCGGTTGGAGAGGTGGGTGGCAAAACAAATGAAATAAAACATAAAAATAGACGCCGGAACAAAAGATTAACTAGAAATATTTTCGCAGAAAAAATTGTAGCCCCTACTTCTCAAAAAAGACTTTGGAAATCTTTAAAATAATGGATAAGGCATGATTGGGAGTTTTGAGAGCAGAAAGGTTGACTGTTTACAGCGACTAAAGTTCTATTCGGAACGAACTCCTCCAAAATTTCCACTTTTCTAGCTTCGAACAGACCTACCCAATTGTTCTCGTTTTTCTCTGCCTTTTGCTAGCGGCCGTTATCATCAACTGGTACTTCACTGATGAAGAACCACCTGCGGATATTGAAAATGAAAGCGTCGAGAAGAAATCAGTGATGGGGTATGATGAAAAATAATATTTAGCCCCTCCAAAAAGTTCTTCTAGGCTTTTGTGCCCAAGCGATGAAGACGAGACCGTGGACGATCCGCTCTTTGGTAAAGTGTATGAGGAGAATGTTTCCAGGTAAATCTGGTACTTTCTTGCTTTCCACGGGTGCAGAAAATCGGGATATTTTCAGGAAGGCTTACGTGGCCAGGCAGCCAGATCGTGACAATCTTCGCCGACGCAAATCTACACACTGCACTCTCGAAGACTGATTTACCACTTCCTATCAGTAGTTCTGTGCATATACTCAATACTTTTGCTAATAAATCCTAGTCCAGTCCCTTCTGCCCAATCTGCTTTGTCCTTGCACAATCCAGCTGCCCCATATGGGGCTGTCGTCTGCTCGTAGGCTCTGCTCTGTGCGTGATCCCCTTGCGTAACCGATCCGCCGCGCCTTTCCATTAAACCACCAAATAAAACACATCGGTAGCCCTTTTGCCTAATGTGTTAATGCTATCCGCCGTCATGCTTAAGGAGGTACTTCCATCACGATATCATAAAGAGCCACCGACGTGGTATTACTGTAATAGAGCGTGAAATCGACACCTCTCAAAGAGATGGGAAGGTGATGGCAGCCGGTGTGCTGTGTGTGCAATGTTGCATGAAGGTAAACAGAACGTAAGATTAGCTGTTCTGATGCAAAAGAGCCTATATCTGATCCAAAAATTTGTCAACGAAGAAACTGAGGAAATGCATCAGAATGGAGCATCAGGTATGTGCGCTGAATTATGTTCACGTTAAAAGCATCCATCAAAACGAGAAAGAGTGATTGTCTGAAAACTCAACACTTATAATTCAACCACAATCTGCATTGCTGTACTTTATAAAACATAAAAGAAAAGAAGAAAGAAAAGTTACACTCTCAAAAAAATCACAAATTGCTAATAAGATATAGTAAAGTCATCCAACTCTGACCGTCGTCTACATAAGGTACTTGTGGATCTGTTGCTGCACGCCGATTATTATCTAATTCTTGGCTGAAATTTCGGTTCGGAGAATATCCTCCTTACGAAGAAACAGTATAGTATATTTTTAAGGAAATGTGGGTTAAAACAACAGCAAAACTTTTGTGCCAAGTTTGCACTGCCATTACTGTCTTTCAAGAACTGAGGTAATTTTACAGTAAAACATACCCTCAGAAATTATGTAGGGAAATGTAATTGGTATATGCGAGGTATTACATATTGAGTTACATAGTCGGACTATTTTCTGAATTTCTCTACAGCATTTCACTTTCAAATTGTAGTCAAGTTTATGACGTGGTTAGAGACGTCTCATAGTCATAAATCTCGCAATCAGATGAATATGAATTTTGGGACATTTCTATGACCACTGAAATAAAAAATTATCTATGAAGATTATCGTCTAAGTGGTTAAGGGTACTTGGACAAGGAAACTAGTTCTGCGGTATCTAGAACTTGTTGATAGAACTGAACAATTGTTAATAGAATTTCCAACACGGAATACTTGTGGTCAAAACGAAGTCAAAATATGTGCCTCATGAGATTTCGATAAGCTCTACCTCATTTCACAGTTTCCTTGAGCAATGGGAAAATTGCTAGCTCTGTACGTTCAAGCCGATGTTAAGCACCAAAAAAATTCTGATTATGATCCCCAAGCTCGAAAATCCTTTGTCATGCGCATCTGCTGTCGTAGTTCCATATTCACCGGTGCACGCACACACAACACACACGTAGAACTGCCATCGTGATCCTACAGTAATCCATCACGATCGAGCCACAAAGGAGTTGCCTTTGTGCACCTTTAGCGCTGCGTCTACGACCATTGCACGCTATTCTCCGCCATACTGCTCTAGTATGCAACGCAACATCAAATATACATTACGTCGGTGCACCTTTTATGCGCCGAGTCGCTAGTCGGCGCAGACACACTCCGGGGGCAGATGAGACATCGCGCAATTCACCGCTTAATGAGCGGTAATAAACAGGGCTAGATGCACTTCAGCGGCTATTGATGACGGTGGGAAGGCGAGTGGCGAGCAGCTTGCGAGCAGTTCAGTCGCAGCTTTAGCTTTACGTTGGCGGAGGTGGTGCTGGTGCCGGTGGATGTCTTGGTATATTCAAACATGGGCTTCTGGCCGCCAGACGTGGAGGATTACATGGAGCAGCAGATAGTGAAAACAAAGCAGGACAATCGCTAAACCTCGCTCGACCTACCTAAGCTTGGCAGACCTTTAAACAGCGCTCTCCGCCATGCCAGGTCTGAAATATCCATTCTTTTCTTCCCCGTACCGCATCACCTATCCTCGTCTAATCTCTTTGTATCGACAGCTGAGCATTAGCATATAGGCTCCTTAGGGTGTCGGTCAGATGAAAAGGATTTATTCGGAGTCAGACACTCCATAGGCAAAAGGCGCATGGCGGTGACACCTATGTACAGTAGATTAGACAGCCAAGCGAGAAGTCGCCGTCAAGGTCGCTACGGTATTTGCGGCAGTCTTGCGACATTTGGTAACCTTCAAAAAGTAGCTCAAGAGTTCAGTTAGAAAGTAGATTCCACAAGGATTGAGCTTAAACATCAGGAATCTGCACTCGAAAACTTCTAAAGGAAATTCGATTAACAAAATAAAAATGAGTCCGAAAAGGGGAACTCCTGATTCCTTCAAATTATTTTTCAAAAGAAACACTGATGTACTGTTTCCTAGAGTTCGAAAGGACGGAGCTTTGCGCAAAACCTACTGTTGGATATTGTTATCGGCGACTGCAAAGATAAAAAAAGTTTCTTCAAGGGTATTTAGAAACTTGGTGAAAGAGAAAAACAGCAGAATAAAAAAGAGGAAACGGTTACGAGAAAAACAAAACTAAAAATTTTTGTGGATAAAGTAGGTAAAATCAGGATGGTTAGTATAAACGTCGGGTACAAGCAAAGTTCTTCTTTGAAAAGTTACGGCTCAAACACTTAGAAGAAACCTTTCATGGCTTAAACAGCACTGAAAAACAATTACATCAATTTTCATATCTTAGATTCAGTTTCCTTCATAACCATCCAAGTGAATCTCTAAACCTCCTTTTCGAAGCTCTGGGAAAATAAGAAGCTGGTAGTGACTGAATGTACACTGGCCTTCCGTTTCACCATTTTGATGTCAAGTGGCTTCTTCTCGATTTCTTCTTACAATCATTTTTTTCTATTCTTTGATCCCTTAAGCTCAAAAAGACTGAATAAAATGTTTGAAAACTGCATTTCTATTGTTTCATTTCACTAATTTCCTTGGGATGAAGAAGCGGATTGATTTTTTATGAAACCACAAATCATATTCTCATTGTTGAATTGCACAAGGGCTTCCTGCTCCCCGTATATTCCCACCTTCCCCGCATTCTCAACCCTGTTCCCCCTGATTGAAATGTTGCGATGTGTGGCGCTGATGGTTTACCTCACCCATCTGGCACTGCTTTGTTGGAGCGAAGAAGAGGTTGCGCGTCCTCTCCTGCTCTCCTCTTGGGTCCTAAACCTTCTTGCAGCCCAGATGTTGCCGAGGTCAAAACAGGACAGATGAGCGAGAGATAAGCGCGGCCGCAGAGAGAAGCGGAGTTGTGGAATTACAGCAATCACACCTAAATTACCTCGAGAGAACGTTTTCATCATGTTGGTGTCATTGTTGGATTTCACTACAACAAAATTAGAAAGTATAGATTAGAAATGCACAAAAGTTTCGAATTAATGGTAATGAAAGTCGGAAAGCCGGAAGATTTGAAAGATCTGCAGAAATTAGTAAAAACTTTTAAAACCATACAAATCGGAAAAATCAATGAAATCAACATTATGAGGTTGTGAAGTCCAAAAAATGTCAAAAATTGGTCAGCCTTCACAGCACCAGAGCTAAATTGCAGATTTTTGAAATTGTACAAATTAACGCAAATTTACAACATTTTATTTGTAAACTTTATGCCCACTTTATGTCGGTATGAAACACTGTTATTTGCAAAATGATGGGGGTAGCTCTACGAACTTGAATATCTCTCAGATTTATCGGACAATGCTTCCAAAAAATTTTGAGAACCCTCTAATTATTTGGTGAGAAAAACCCATGAAATTTCGAAATAGGAGCCAAATAATCCATGATTACCGCTGTATCAATCAGTCCATGACTTTTTCCAGCTTTCTTCATATTTTCCTTTACCTACCTGGAGTCCTTTCATCAGTGGTCTATTAAGCTTTTTTTCGAGGGCCTTTCAACTGCAGAATACGAATCACCATGAACGATGGCCTTGTGTGTCCGATGGATTTAGCCCCACCGCTTTCACACGGTCGCAATTTGATCAGGCTGTGCTAGATTGAAGGTAAAGTGAGCAAAATATAGGCTCTAAGTAAAGAATGCTGCTGATGGTGTCAAAAATGAATTTTGTGAATTTCATCCCGGAAGGACAGATTTGCTTTGGGGTGGGAGGGGCGTGATAATGCTCCAGAGCCTAGGCGGTCAGTTTCAACTTCAATCTGTTGCTTGCTTCGGCTCAGTCAGAACTCATGGACGAGTTTCTTCACTTACTTTTCCGAAGCGCTTTGTCTTAACCCTCCTCTGAATGTGCCCGTGTGCCCGGATATGCTAACGGGGGACGCAGCAAGGCTTACGCTCGTCAGGGCACATAATGCCATGATTGAATCTACCTTTCCGTGCTCCAATTCACTTACTCGCTATCAAATCTCGGCCTCTGTCCCCCTCCAATAGTCCTAGCCCCCGTGTATGCAGAGCAGCGCCTCCAATAATGTACTTTGTCTCACAATCTATCTCGCTTTATGCTCTGCATCGCCAGCCCCCCCCCCCCCTTCCCCGTCGCTCACATACGTAGACGAGAGTACAGCAACTCACACCGTATGCTTGTTAGTGGCCGAGCCGACAGCTCCTAACCTCGTCGCTCATTTCCTCTTCCGAACTCGAAATCCTCCTCTCAGACCTATCAAATTTGCCTCTTTGCCTCTCTCCCCTAGGCCCCGATAGACATCCCCGAACACACTTCCGAGTGAATTCTCTCACACGTGCATTTAACGAGTGCGCCTCAAGGTATTAGATAATGTAAACAGATTTATAGCCCCCGAATCGATGAGTCTGTACTGCAGCCGTAGAGTCGAAACTCGTACCTGAAGCTCGGGCATCCCCGCCGCTTTCTTCCGGGAGTACGGTGCCCAAGTGTTGGTGTTTTGCCGTCTCGACAGCGGCACCTGATGTAAGGCAATAACATGAAACGACTAGCCGTGAGTGTGAGTGTGCTGCTTGTGGCTCCGGCTAACAACCTGCCCGCATCGTCCACTGGTGATTTATGCGCCAGATGAGTGGCCCTACATTCCTCACCGGCCTAGGAACGATTGAAACACTGAAATTGGCATTTTTGCTATGTCAGTGAACAAATAAGGTGAGAGGGCTTTTAGGGGAAAATTTTGGTTATTTTGGACCACGAAAACGTACCAAAAAGGAGTTTGAGGCAAACTTCGAAGCTAATTAGGAGGGATCGAAATCATAAGCTTTCATGACCAACGAATTTCGAGATTCCATTACACAACTAAATATTGCTTGATGGCAAATTTTCGATAAGGACTTTAGCAATGAAAAATATTTACCACTCTACCTCATTCTGATTATTACGCCGATACTTTGAGAATAAGAAATTTGCTCCAAAACTTCAAGATTTACAAAAAAATGAATACGGCCTTCGCTTGCAAAAATATATAGTATTCAATCTTTTTTGCATAAGCTAAATCATTCGCACAGATGCACGGAGTTTTCTTTAACAGATTGTTGGTTTTTTTGCTCTGGTAAACTCCCACCCCTCAGAGGTATGAGCAGACGGATTTTTCAAAGAAATAACTAGACCATGTCGTTTAAGTAATTTGATTTAATTATTTATTAATTGTTTAAAAACAGTGCCCTAAAGCCAAGACGTACAATTTTTATGAGTTACGGCGAAAGAGGGGTTTGATCGTGTAGCCTGAAGTCTGTTAAAGTAAAGTAAATAGATTTACATTTTTATTCTTTTTTATTTTCAAGAACTTTCTGTTAATATGACTCTTAGTATCTAAAATTATCTCCACCAACGTCAATAGCTTCAAATCACTTGACATTGTTGCTTATGACAATCCTGTGAAAATGAAGAATTACCGTATCCTTGTCGTGCTAGTAGTGTCAAGGGTGGCGTCAAGGTCGAAACCGTCTTGTATATTAATTGCTTGGCGGCTGCGTGGGGGTGTTGTAATTTATGCAAATGCGACAAGATGGACGTCGTGCTTCTCAAGAGCATCAAACCTTGTATGGGTGCCGTGTACACAGCTTCTCGATCCATGATTTTAGATGCATGGGTCACGGACCGGGCCTCGGGAATGAAGGGGGATGAGTCGGGAGTCCCTCTCCCCCCTTCTATGACAGTTTTGCTAGAGTCTTGTTTGCATACTTACAGCTGGCGCAAGCTCTGAACTCTGACGCAATTCACGGCTCATTCCTCCTTTTGCGCAACTTTCTCATTGTCAAATTTGATGCGCCCCTGACAAGCACTTCTCCCTACAGTACCCCTTCTTGGGAAACCCGCACTACACCCCACCATCTCCTCCACCCATCAATTACTCAAACTCCTACCTCTCCTACGCAAATTTTTCGACTTATCAAAACATGTCGACAGCTCGCAATCATTATAGCGATAATCCACTCAATCCATTGGAGAGACCCTGCTATTAAACACTCCTGAGTAATTACTACCTGGCAGGGTGTAGGTGGGTGGTGCAATTACGGTGCACACGCGTCACGAAATGGCGCACCTTCACGTAAATTACGGTAGTAGTTGACACATTCTCGACAGCCAACCTTCTGTCACCTTATTTGTGCGATAATATATGGGCTTTAAGAGCGAGGTCATCATCATCAGGTCATGGATGGTGGGGAAATAGGATGGGTTCATTTAGTTGATTGGGTAAGTCTGGAAGAGAAAGTGTAGGATATCATTTTAGATCGATCAATAATCATACTTTTTGTTATCTCAGGTGCATAAGAAAATTTGAATCACAGTAGGTTTCATTTACTCGCTTGGGTAGACTCGCAACAGGTGCATAGTGAAGGTGAGTTAACATCAGAGTGAAATCTTCAAAGGGTGGTTGTAGCGGTCTACCCACTTGGGTTAGGATTGGTAACTTACCCGGAAGAAACCCTTCTTCTAGTTTACTCCTTTCTGGAAACATCGCGAATCCTTTTCGGAATTTCTAGAGGAGTTCCAGAACTTCCAAATTTTCTTGTGGGCTCGGGACTTTCCCAGGGTGTCCCCACGAATTCTTGGTGGAACCGAACTCACCGTCGACCATATTGTTCACAGCGCTCTTTTATTGGTACGACTGATGTGTCTATTAAGACGGTTAATGGCGGTTTTCACACCCTAAGGTGGTTTTGAGCAAAAGTCCGCGCGTCTCAACGTCCTCGTCGTCTTCGCCATAATTCTCATTGTTGTCATAAATGCGAAACGGAGAGACAGCTGCCGTCATCGAACAGGTGTCAAGAAGCGCGTTTTGGGGCCCCGTTGAGGAATCGCTGTCGTTGTGGCCTAAATTGGATTCTGCTGTGTGTGTACACCTTCGACTCTTCTTTGGTTCGCAGTCTGCACATCACACCTTATGCAACATCTGCGCGTCAATTTGTGTTATATTGATGGGAGCGGAGAAATTCGCGTTGTTCTCAAGTTCTTTGGGAAAAATATTTGGGGAATTCAGATTTTTCAAAGAATATTAGGACGCATTTTATAGGATTCTAATTCAAATAAGTAGAATAATTTTTATTTTCACTTGAAACTTGTTTGCTTAGTCTTTTTATGCCCTTGAAAAAATGATTGAATTATTAATTATAATTTTGGTCAAACGTATAGTAGAATTTGAGAACGAGAAAAATTGTTTATTTTACCAAATTAAATTGCTATGTGGTCATGCAAAAAAGAAAATTGTTGGATGAACTATGCAGTAGGCTGATATCCGTCCAGGACCTCACGACGCCTCAATAGTTACAAATATCACTGGAACTTATCTGATGCAAAAAAAAATCGGAAATAAAAATTTACATATTGCGGCACCTAAAAGGAGAGAAAAATTATGAAGCCTGGGAGTACACATGTCGTATTATGACCCACTTTTGGTGCAGTGCACAAATGAGGTTACAAATGGCTAAACTGTATTTCATGACCTTTGAGGTTTTCTCTGCACGGTGTTCTCCCTCCCCCTTCCCATCCCCCATCGTTAGCTTTAGGGTCACCAAAATCACCATCACATATCAGATGGCGCACGAATGGCTTCTCCTATCCAGGATGGATAAATGTGTACGCACACATTCATATCTCTTCGACGTCTCAATCTGTCGTAGCGATGCTTATCGTGCTGCACGGCTAATTGCGTGCGCCAACACGAGCCTCGTCGGAAGATCGTCTTCGTTGATAACGTTCGCTAGTGAATGTGTTCCGTCGAAGGTGAAGCAGCGAGGAGAAAGTTCATCACGGCTTCAGATCTCTCTCGGCCCCAATCATCACACCCACCCACCACTACCCCCTATAACATTCGAATTGCAAGGCACATCGATGTTTATTTGGTGGCCGAACATTTTTGTGAGACGACGATCAGCTGCGGCCCGATGTTAGTCCTGTCAACGACATTTCCACACAGACGCATTCCATTCCTCAGTTCTTCCTCAATGCTGCTGGCGCTGCGATGGTTTTTCGGTTTTTTCCGCGCGTCTAACGCCTCGCCTCGTCTGCGCTTGCGGCACGTCCATGTTTTCGGACACCTGGTCTAACCAGCAATGGTATTTGAAATGCCGGCGGATGGATGATCGCCACCTGCTTGCTGCCAGTCATCGTAAAAATCTTCACCGCAGCTACAGGCCTTCCTCACTCTCACACCCCGCACCTCATCTGGGACCCGCATATTTGGCACTTTGTGCTGTGCTGTTTTGGCGCCAGTCCCCTCCCGCCCCCCCCCCCCCTCCCGTGCGTACTTGAACGTCTGGCAGTTGTAAATGGACAATGAATGGAACCGCTCCTCGCTTCGCTTCGACCCTTTCATCACCACCTGCTTTTGATTTCAGGCCTTTCCTCGCAGAACTCGCCAGTCTTTGTCCCGGCCCACAGTTCGCTCTTCTTCGCCGTTTAGCAGCGTGTGAACTCGCCGCTCATTCACGTCGATTTCGCTCACTTTCTTCCCTCCGTTCAATCCACAACTTTCGATTCTCATGCACATTCCCAGCAGCTTATCTGTTGTTAATCGCCGTTATGTTTTCGGATCAATCCACAAGTTTTCCTGGAGATTTCTTGCTGGGAAAAAGTGTAGGCTGCGGCTTTCCTATGGCGAGCATGATAATTACTGTAATTACTTCGCTTACTTTTCTTAGCCCATTTTCCCAGTTTCTATTATTTTTTGGAAAAGATTGAACGTAAATTTGCTATCTGCTGAGATTGTTCAAAAATGGAAACTTCTGGAAGTTAGAGAAGAAACAAATAATCCTCAGAACAGTTGAATGCTCATCATGTATCGTTTATTTCATGCTTAAAGCATACTGTAGAAGATTTTCTTCCACTAAACCCACATAAAAAGAGATGGGGGGGGGGAGGGGAGGGCAATGTATCCTTTTCGTGCTGGAAAGGGTTTTTGAGGTCATGGTTGACAAATAAAAGGAAATGAACATTCACTTTATTCAGAAACTTTCGCGTTTCGTTGGTAAGAAAATATCAAAATGTAAATTCCACACGTAATTCTGAGGAGGAAATTATTCTACGATGTGCCTTTCAGCAAAAAGTTTCTCAGACCATCCTTTATAAGGCTTACTCACTGGTGGGAAATGTAAAAGTTGTGGATTTTTGCCTGTCTGCCAAATCAGTTCGAATCCAAGTCCGTATCTTCCAGCACGAAATTTCAGAATTTTTGCACGACTTGACAGGGCATGATTTCGAAATGGAGCAGATTTGCACAAAGTGAAAGATGAGCAAGTCTCACCCGCTAATCTGCATGACTCACATCTTCCGAAGTCCAGTCCTAGTTGCCCAAAAATTCCGTCCAGGGCGCATTCCCGCGTCGACGTCGTTGGCAGGGGCATAATTTGATCTACCTGGCGCATCGCCTCATTAGCGTTTGCCTCGCGGTGTGCGCGTGTCTTCTGCCTCGTCCGGCAGCCCGCACTCTCTTCCAGCTCATCCAATTACTTAACCGTGGATAATGCCGCACACGATGTGCTCCACTCGGCTCCGCCCACCATACCAGTGGATATCACCATCTGGGTCCGAAGTGTGGTGACGGTCGGGTCCTCTTCTTGGCCGGGGTCGTCGGGGCGGGTGGTCCCATCTGGATGCAAAGCTGCGGTCGTGCAGGAATCAGGTGATGGCGGTGACTCATCGGTTTCTTCATGCGCTCACAACTCATTCCTTCTCTTCTGTTACTTTCCTATTACCTGGAGTGTACCTACACTTGCAGCACAAACAATTGATCTACATTTGATCCACATTTGATCTGTGAACTACAGTACTTTAGGGCTACAGTACGCTACAGTAATATCGCCACCTCTTCCGCTTTTTTCTAGAGATAGATTTCTTATTCCATGTAAATCTCCAAAATCGTCTTCTGTCATCTTAATATGTAGTTTTTCTGTGAAACCGCGACTTACTTTTTATCTAGTTAGTATAGTAGCCAATATTATAGCTCAAATGTGTAAGAGAGCGAATTTTTACCCAGTGGTTTTAGTGCTCGCTGCTTGCCGGAACCCAAAACTTTCCCATGACTTCCCCTGATTCTTCCTCAAGTGATCAGATTGATCACCTAAGCCTCCTGTTCCAATCTCGTCCACCTCACTTCTTCTATGCTTTCCTATCTGGTCCCGTAATCGAGACAAGAACATCTCATTTCGACCACCCGAGCCGCGCGCAAACGCGCCCTTCCCGGCCCCCGTGAGGTGATGCGGGTTCCTGGTTTGCTTATTAAATTGGTGTAGTGCGCCAAACATGTTCGATCTCACGTTATGTTTATGAATTCGCTTCTTTTGACGATTTTGGCGAGTCTCGCGGCCGCTCGCACAACGGCCCCATGATTCGACGTAATAGCTCGGGCGAGCGCACAGGTCTTCTTCGGTTCTTCTCCTCGTTTCTTCTTCATGTCTTCCTCTTTACGATGCTGTGTGTGAACTCGTCCTCTAAGAGGTTCATGATTCGTAGAACTTCGTGTATTAAATGCATCGAATTGCTTTACGTCTGAGAGCTAGCGTTTCGGGCTAGGCTAAGTTTGGCTAGCGTCCAGTTCTCAATAAGATAGAAACATTTGTCAGAAAATTTTTAAGTGAGTTCTTCAGTTTGCCAATGCTTCAACTTCAATTCGCAATGATTTTTTGATTTAAGTCTCAGCATCTTCACTAGAAATAAATTCTACAACTAGTGTTTCACGTGGATTCAGCGAGATAATTTCATTGAGGATCAGCAAACAAAGCTAGAAAATCGTGTAAAATTCCGAGTTTTGTAGAATTACTGAAATGGGTGTCATAGTATAAGATTCCTCTTGTCATTTCATTGCGATTTTTAAACAATTTCTTATCGAAGAAATCTGTATGGAGAATAGCGAAAAAAGCGGAAAATTTTTTGAAATTTTGGTCTGTGAAAGAGCTTTTTAAATGAGTGGGAGCTCATACTTACTCAATAACTTCATCTCATTGCGCATTTCCAAAAATTTTACATAATTTCCGCATAACCCAAGAAAATTTTACTGTTAAGCTCTTTGTAATGGATGAAAAGAGCTTATTTCGAGAAAATTGGTAATACTCATACTCAGGTTCATTCCGAATTCATTATAGAGCAAGGGAATTTGAAATTAAATTTTTATCCCACCTAGATGATTCCTCACCCAATCGCAATTACAAAACTAGTTCAAAGAACTTATAGACCTTTCCTTCCCCTTCGCGTTATATGATCTCTTACGTCGGTTCGGAGCGAAGATGAAGACGAGCTGTTAGTGTAGTTTAGCGTTGTCAGCGCTGGTCGTCAAATCACGGAGATACGCGTGGAGGTGCAACTGGTATATAACCCGAGTAACCCGAGTCAGCAGCGAAGATACCGGTATATCATCAACCCGTACAGATACGCATATACGACGCAAATGCAAGTTCCTAGGTGCTAAGTCGGCGCATCCGCATGGGTGTAGAGTAATCTCATCCAGTTCGCTAGCTCTTAGGGTTAAGGTCGGGGGTATTTGGTATCAGATCACCTCATCGCTAGTTTTCTGCATCATTTCTGCTGCTAAGAAATCATCGCAGAAACACCATTTAATGATGAGTAATGCCTAGGCTTTTCTGGTAAACACGCGCCGATTCGTCTGATCGTCGTTTGGAAAAAAGCCGAGTTGTCTCGACCCGGTGTTCGAGACACCAGAAGCTGCTTGTTTGCTTCGACGAGATGCGCTGGCTGATGTGCTACATTTGCTATGCTGTTCGTTCCCGGTCCTGTGTATAGATAGCGGCGACCGTGACATTGGAATTTCCCGTTCCCTGCGCAGATGTAGCAACTCCAGGATGCGCTCTCCCCCCGTACGTTTCGCTGGTTCCGCCCCGGCCACACCACCCTGTCTTGGTAGCAATTTGTTAGTTGTTCCCGTATTGGCGCTGACCATTGCTCCTCCTCGCACTTAGCGTGCAGCTAGCTGGCGACTCATAGGCAGCCCTTAGGCACATCCTCTCCCCTTGACCATTTTGGCACATCCACACATTCATCCGCTCCCCCCCCCTCCCGTCCTGTAAAGCTGTGTGTGTCTTTTCACAACGCAATCCCTGCGAGTCCAATTAGACGTGCACATCACAAACAGCCCCCTGGCCACGGATAATAAGAAACCTGAGAGGCCGATTTCCTGTCCTTCCCCCACCACTAGCCCCATCACCCGCTCCTCATCTTCTCATCCTCAACCATATTTCACTCCTTATCGACTATTGTCACCTTAGCGAGCGATGCGGGTTGCGAAACATCCGGGGGTGTATTTCCATCGCCTGACCTTTGTTGATCTTTATTTCACAAACATCTGTTTTATACCTTCTAGACTCATACATCACATTTCTGCGTCCAACTGCGAATATTCGGTATTTTTTCTGTTTTTACCCTTTCCACATCTGCGAAGGTGCTCATCTTTTCTTATATAGTCGAATGGTAACTGAAATATTCCTGCAGCTCTCGTTTTAGTGAGTTTTATGGTACAGCGATGGTAGAAAATACAAAAACTGCTCCAATGACTTTAGTCACAATTCTTTGCTCAAAATCACAGACTTCAAATAACTTGACTCGCTCAATCCTGAGAAAATATGAATTCATTCAAAAAAATTTTGAAAATCCTGGACAAAAAAACTGTTCGAGTTAGATCAAATGGCCAAAGCTGGTCAGTCTATTTCAATTCTTTGGGAGTAAAATAGTAGCTCAAATTCTTCTTTAAAAATTGCTTCAAATCCAAAATCATGCGAAGTAAATCACGCTGGAATATCAGTTTTGTAGTGTCTATCACATAAATGAGCGATTGAATTGAGACATAACGAAAACTCAAGTTTTTTGGATTCTTTGACACCACTTTTTTCTTTCAATAGTGAGCTCCTTTCAGTCCATAAGCTTTCTAAAACCTATCACTTCAATTATAAATTGCAGATCAAATCATTGTGTATTCCTAGACTAAGGCCTTTTTTTGCTATGAACACGTAATCTTACAAAGTAAAATCCCAAAGAGGTTCAGATTTTTCGAACAAATTTTCACTTGTGGAGTCACTGAGATTGTCTTGTAATTTACATGAAAATGCACTCGTCGCTCTGTTTTTGGAAATTTTATTAGTCTGCAAGTTGCACTTAGCGTGCCTTAAGCATACCTTTGTTGATTTCGACCTTTTTGCGCTCACTTCAAAAACTGCGTAGCCGCTCGTCCACGCACCCCACGCACTCGCCGCACACACACACACACACGAGTTTTAATTGCTCCCTACGGCAAAGTGCTACGGTAGTGGTGGTGGCGGGGGGCGGGGCCCCGCAGGTGAGACTGGCATTGATCCCTCACCTCGTCTCTCGCTCTCGCTCACCCACCAGGACGACACATCTCGTCCATCTCGTCCTCATCTCACCTTCGCGTTCCCAGAGCCTCGGCTGAAGCTCCCGCGATTCCGCTAAGCCATCGTCGCCATCGTTTGTTTGTCGCACTAGGGCACACACACATTGCTGCGACGATCGCCAGGGGCCCCCTTAAGTGCTTGTTAGCAATTTTTACATTGATAATTATTCATACGGTATTTCGAGCACTCTTCACCAATTTCGCAGCACTTTTTCTCCGCGTCGAGTGTGTTTTGTGTGGCGTTCAACTTTGCAATTAATCAAAACAATGCTGTTGGTTCCGCTTAGTTATAGCATCCTCATTCTTATTCTACCTAATTAAGTCCATCAGCACTTTTCCCTTCTAAATAGAAGTTTTTGCTAACGGCTATAATAGTTTCTTTTGGAGAGGTGTTAAATGCAAAGTCCGCTCGTCCCAAGAGGGTTCTCTCTGCCCTTTTTTCGATTACTGCATGTGTTCGCGGCGATCCGCTGACATTCTTTGTTGAATTTCGGCACGAATTCTTGACATTTGATTGCGGTAAAATAAAAACGCAAAATCTATACCGCGATGTTGTAGCTGTCTTTCTTATAAATCTTAAAGGTTATCAGGTAAGCTTATTTTCGCCAAAAATCAAGAAGGCATCTTTTCACTCAAAAGAATTGTATTCGATTTCATGGAACGATTTTAATTATTATACCTAACAAGAAAATCTGTATACTTTGATATTTTGTTACATTTCTACCAAATCGCAAGTTTGTAGGTAAGTTCCTGTCAATATGATAATATTATTTCCACCTGGAAAGCCTTGAGACTTAGTTTTTGGATACGATTATTGGTGGCAAGTCTCAAAGTAAACTTGATTGCCCTTCTCTTCCCCCCTTTTTTTCTGTAAAACTTCCAATCCCGGATATTCCCATATCGGACCAGGATCTTGTCCCCCCCTCTCCCCTTCCCCGTTTCTTCTATAGCCTCGTAATCTCAGCCGACAAGTTGTTCATGTGTGTTTCCACCTTAATAATTGCATCAGTCCGCTGTCTTAATAGTCCTGGGAGTTTCGTGCTCGTTTTTCCTCATAGTTATGGCCGCATGCGCGTTGATCGCATTAGCCAGGTAGAGGAACAACCGCCGATGTTTGAGGATGTGTGTGTATGATTCATTCTCATTTCTGCGCCTTTTCAGAGTCGCAGCAGCAGCTAGATTGTCGCATCGCGGTCGCACTGGAGGTGCTACTCGGTCTAATGGATATAGCTGCGAGTGAGCCGTCGGCGGCAGAATCCGCCTTACGGCGAGTCGTCAACGATTCTGACGACGTTT